TGTGGATTCGAGGCACATGTATAATGTTGTGTCGCCTCGCTTTAGAAACACATGTTTTATATTTATGAGGGATATCTGTAATGAAAGTGTGGGAGAGCCATGCTTCGGCACGTATGGGCTTGCTCGACAGGAGTGATACCACAGCCTCACAGAAAACCGACGTGAAGCAACGCTTGCGTTGTGTTTCGTCGTGTGAGTGAGGTTACCGGAGGGCCAATTACCCTCCCCTTCCCCAATCTCCCCAATTCCTGAATTCCCAACGATCCTCAAACTCCTAATCCCCAAAAGGCCGGTAACGCACTTGTAACGCCTCTGGTGTTCCAGGTGTCAATGGGCGACGCAGATTGCTTACCATCAGGTGATCCGTCTGTTCGTTTACCGGCTTATGCCATAAAAAAATCTGGTCCGAGGTGGGAGCCTGGAGATCAGATCCGTCACACAGGGAATCCCACTATGGACTCCAGTCTCTCACAAAGGAGTATATTATTTGCATCTGATTATTGTATCTTATTTCTGTGAAATGGTCCTTTGTGTAGAGAGGTAATAAATAAATTTATTTATGTATAGAATTATTTATTATATTCGTTGATTTTGTAAGGTATTATATTAGAAGTAAGATCGCTTACCATCAGATTATTCGTCTGCTCGTTTGCCTCCTATTCCATAAAAAAAAGATATTGTATTCGTTAAATTGTTTACCTGTACTCGTAGAAATTAGATTTTCCCCCCTTAAAAAAAGACCTCTAAAGCTAAAAAAGCTATAATTACGTATGCTCCCTGATAGGGCCAAACCCAAACGATACAAAACAAAACTGCGTATTTACAAAGACACCGAGAATGCGCTATCTCTTTCCATCGCTATGACAAAAGATGCGACCGAGATATTACGTCAGTCGACTGACTAACCACTGTACATGTCATAGTCATAATTATTTATGTCAATTACATAGTTTGACGAGAGACATGACTATGAATAAGGATATTTCTTTTATATGATGGGACAAGTCCGCCACAACCTCCCAAAACCGCTGCAACTCCTGTAAGACACCTCTACACTAGATACAACCTTGAAAACATCGGAACACTGAAGTCCGGCGCATCAGAGGAAAATGAATAACTGTTTTGGATTAGAAAAAAAGTGTTCTGGAGACTTCTCCACTACTCTCTCTTCTACCATAAACACGTGTTTATGGTAGGTAGTTAGTAAATAATGGTTGTTATAACGGCAACAGTAATGAATGGTCTTCTTTTACGTGTAAATGAATGTATGGTTGGCTGGTAGAGAATGCCATTCGGCATTAAGTCCGCCATTGTATACAGTTGTACATAAAGTGTTAAAATAAATAAATAAATGAAACTGAATTCTAAAGTGAAAAATCTTAGCTAGTCTAAGCCGTATGTTTGACATTCCGTCAACAAAAAAAAATTAAACGTGAAGCTATTTGCTATAGATTCCTATGGAGAAGAACGAGCAAGAAACTCCATAGGTTACTCTTTTAATCATGTTTGTCTGTATGCTTAGAACTTTAAAATCAAGCAACAGTATTTGATGGGGTTTTTTAATAGATAAAGTGGTACAGGAGAAGTCGCGGGCGGAAATCTAGATAATTAATAAAGACCATACAAATAACAATCTCAACAAATTCCTCACGAAAAATCTCAGACGAAAATAATTAACAATAAGGAATATTTTTTTCTTATTTACCTTGAATCGTGACGTCAAAATCGTGACCTAGGTCAACTGACATACATACCTACTTATATATTAATGCTATACTGAGCTACCACCCGGTGGGGTGACCCCCTATCAGCTGAGCGTGGGGTCGGGTCGGGGGTGGGGTTGGGGGCTGTTTCCTTATTGCATTATCCTTGTATGTAACCTTGGGGGTGCAGTGAATGAAATTTTCGGTTGAAAAAAAAATATCTTTGCGATTTTTTTTGAGTTTCAACGTTTTTCTATGAAACTTTTTTGAGGTTAAGGTTATATGTTTTTTGTTTTTTTTTTATGATATTAGTCTGCTAACAAATGTTACTAGATGCAGTATTGTTATGGAAGCTAAAGAAATATACGTAACAATTGTAGTTGATGGCGCTTTGTAACTAGGTAATAGCCTAGATCCACATAATTTTTTTTTATGGAATAAGCCGGTAAACGATCAGCTGGTTCACCTGATGGTGCCGGCCGGCCGTGGACACATGAAACACCAGAGGCGTTACAAGTGCCTTACCGGCCTTTTGGGGATTAGGAATTTGAGGATTGTTGGGGAATCGGGAGATTAGGGTAATAAATGAATCAAAAATGAGTTTCTGTATGTATGTAATATTTGTATTTACATAATAGAATAAATTATATATGAATACTTAATATATATTCTTTACTGACCTTCTCAATAACGTTGGTATTAATACGAAGATTTGACGAGATTTGATTGCTAACTCGGATATTTTACGTCAAATTCGGATCGTGCAAAGAATTATTAGGCACTAGGGACCCGGCCCGGCTTCGCACGGGTGCAATATGCATGTATTATACATATGAACCTTCCTTAACTCGTCGAGTACCGGTTTTATAGACACAATTAAAGAACAATAGGTCGCGGTCACCGGTGACCGCTTGGTGTTTGACAGATTAAGAATCACTCTATCTACTCGCATCAAAATCTGTTGCGTAGTTTTAAAGATCTAAGTATACATAGGGACAGACAGACGGCGGATAGCGACTTTGTTTTAAAGAGGTACTATGTAGTGACGAACAAGGTAAAATGCACCAAAATATGCCAAAAATATTTGACCAGACAGCCATACCACGGGGTTTCATTAAAAAATAAACTCCATTCACTGTTTAGGGGGTGGAATTTCACCCCCCATTGTACCCCCATTGATGTTTTACCCCCCTCTTCGTTGGGGTAGGAGGAAGTACTACGTTATCTACGAATATACTTCTCATTACTTAGGATGATAATTTTAGTTTAACATTACTATTTTATAACATCATGCCTTTTATCTCCCAAGGGGTAGGTAAAGGTGTACATTACAGCTTACAGCACTTAACGCCACTGTACAATGTAACTAACACCCACTTTTCACTATTTATGTTGTGAGTCCTATGTAATAGGCAGTGCCGGATTTATATTGTTTTTGAGTGTAAGCCACTTTTTTCCGCCGCCCCATGTATACTTTATTTTTGAGAGAGAAATTCATCTATCTTCCGCCCTACCAGGTGAGTGGTAACTGACTAAAAACCACCCCGTTCCTACCCCTGCTCTTCGACTCGGAGCCCATGGCTTTTATCATCTTAAATCGAGTGACCGTCCTCTAAAATCTGCCGCCCCTAGGACGCTGCCGCCCCTAGGCCGTGGCCTATACGGCCTATTTATAAATCCAACACTGGTAATAGGGGGTGAGCCTATTGCCATATACCGGGCACAATTCCAGACTTTGTGCTACTACTGAGAGTTTTTTAAAACGCTGTAATGCTTTGCCCGACCCGGGAATCGAATCCTGTCAACGAGGCAGTCTGTTCTGGCAGTTTACCATTATTATTATTGTAGAATTTACTTTGATTTGACTGCATCGTTGGCCAAGTAGTCGCAATTGCGACTGCCCCTTCTGGGATAAAAGGCGTGATATTGTGTGAATTTACTTTGTATGAAATTGTAGGGTGGAATTTTTGGTATAATTTAGTTTCTTATATAGACTTCATGCCTCGTTGGTCGAGTATTCACATTATTAATGAATTCTTATATATTTAAACTTTTCGGTTTCGATAAATTTTCTCTGCAATACCCCGAGACGAAGTTTCCAATTGTGCCCGTAAAGTTTTCGAAAATTATGTGACTTACCTATGAGAAATAAAAAATATGAAGTTACTTAATAAAAGATACATAACTAAATAGAAACAAAATAACCTTGACCCACTTTTTATATCCAAATAAAACATTAAAAAATGAAACTAAAACCTACATATTTGTCGAAATAACTGGTTTGTGTTGTGTGTTACTCAAAAACCATTTATTTTTGTTTAGTTTGAAATATTATAAGTAAACTTATGTTGAAGTTGAGATTTATAATGACCTCAAAATCGAAATATTTTTGAATTTGCTACCTAAAAGGTTTTACCTTAATCTCTAAAAGACCGGTAACAAAACGCAAGCGCAACACTAAATAACTGCACGGTTGGCGTGGTGGCTGGGCAACTGGCTGCCGCGCAACGTGTCGGGGGTTCGATTCCTGCACGGAACAACACTTTGTGTGATGCACAGATTGTTGTTCGGGTCTGGGTGTCATGTGTATGTGAACTTGTATGTTTGTAAACGCACCCACGACACAGGAGAAAATCCAAGTGTGGGGCAAAGATTAAAAAAAAGGGGGCTCTAGTGTTCCAGGTGTCCATTGGCGACGCTGATTGCTTACCATCAGGTGATCCGGCTGTTAGTTTGCCGCCATGTTCCTTTGAAAAATGTTTAATTTTTATTTCTTTTAAATTTTCGCTTCCGTTCACAGGAACACAGGGTCTCGTACCTTAGGAAGTCGTACAAGGAGCCGAAGCCATTAGAAGCCAAGCTCGCAGAGGCCCGTTGAACGATTTTAACTTGTTGTCTATCGATATATGAGACACAATACCTCTAGTAAACGCATTGTGTCTCCCGTAGATCTACGCTCCGACATACCCTACCAGAGGTTACTCTATCCCGAGAGTTCAGCGCGCGGCTCAAATAGCCATCTGACCACCACAGATGGGGCCCAATAGGTCTGATGCCGATACGCGGAGAACTTAACGGGTAACCGGGGCTCCGGCTCGAAGTGCAGGAGTAGGTACGGTGTGGTTTTTAGTCAGTAAGAGTCTGAATCTCCCTCCCGTCTCACCCAGGCGGGAGAAGTCAGTCGATGACTTTCCCCCCTTAAAAAAAAGAGGTAACTCTAAGTAAAATGGGACAACAGCCCGCAATTATCCCTGTAAGCACTATGTTAAATGTTATTGTTTTTGTTTCAGGCGTGTTATGGATAAGGAAGGGCCGGAGGGCGAGGCGGGGAAGGCACCCTCCGACGGACTGCTCGATGCCGCTAATCTATTCGGTGGTGAGTTACTAAATATGTTATTACTCTACACCCGCGTGCTTGCACCCCCTCTGCTCGGCTCCTGTAAGTCGTAGCGTGATGTATTATGACCTATAGCTTCCTCGATAAATGCGCTATCCAACACAAAAAGAATTATTCAAATCAGACTTGTAGTTACGGAGATCAGCGCGTTCAAACAAACAAACAAACAAACAAACAAAAAACAAATTCTTCCACTTTATATAATAGTATAAGATGTTTTCGGCTTACTCATGTAACTGCTTGACGAGGAACTCGACTAGTTTCAAGCCATGCTCTTTAGCCTCTGCTAATATAAACATTTTTGAGCATGCTCAATAGAACTATCCTTTTAGCGAAATATTTCAAAGCATTTGTAACTGAGCCTATTGTAAAAAGCGCTTGAAGACTCTTAGGACTCTAGCGGGAAGATGAGGGGTGATGACTGACAAACGTAGGTACTCTATCGTCACCACATGTCAAACATCCCTACAAACTGTTAAATTTATTATTAGTCTGGGTATTACCCGGTGATTAACGTATCGATCTGGGAAACCAAGGAAAAGTATTGATCCCCCTTCAATATAGTTACAGGAATACTTTAGTTATTCATGCTAACTGCTAGTTACGGCTAACTGGAAGTAAATGTCTGTAGTTGACATAGGGTGGGAATGTCGGCTGTATAATTATGGTAATTGGGTGTATTTTTGTGTGCTGTAGTTGTTGGGTTACGGTTACCTATGAAAGAGAGGTAGTGTGTGTGATATGTTTGATAGATTGGTGGAAAAAGATGTACTGTGCTGACCATTTTGAAAAAGGACGAGAAGTATGGTTAGTTAGTTATAAAGGTTTGGTATCTAACTAGGCCTGGCTTGATAAGCAGATCTTTCTAATGACCTAATCTAAGCAATATCTGAAGGTAGTTGCTTGGCTTGTGACAGGTTGTTGTGTGTCGTGGCGTAATAAATGGTTTTTCTTTCTATCTGTATATACCCCGATCGCGGAAGACTTAAAGGGTTGCCAGGGCTGCGGTTCGGGAGCTTGGGAAGACTTAACGGGTTACCGGGGCTTCGGCTCGAAGTGCAGGAGTAGGAACGGGGTGGTTTTTAGTCAGTAAGTCTCTGATACCCCCTCCCGAGGGAGAAGACATTAGATAGTTTTCCCCCCTCAGAAAAGGATATACTCAGGTTATTATTTCCTAAGCCCCCCTCAGGTTAACTTGAAGGTACCATACTAAATGGATGATCTTTAGCTGGATGTGTTATCAAATAAACTTTACCAATACACCTATAATTATATATTTCTTTTAGCGTTGATGACATATGACACGTAACTAAGATATTAGGTTCTTTTCTCTGTTAAATAATAACCTTAATACCTGTTTTCAATATTAATTAACTATGTGTCGAAAGGTTATCTGCTAGATATCTATTTGAGCTGATGACTTAACGGGTTGCGTAGGTTCCGGCTCGAAGTGCAGGAGTAGCAACGGGGTGGTTTTTAGTCAGTAAGAGTCTGACATTCCCTCTCGCCTCACCTAGGCGGGAGATAAGTCACTAGATAAATTTCCCCAATTTAAAAAAAAGATTTCTCTTCTACTAATTCGTCATCTTCAAACATTAATATGTGTGTGAAACATACATAGAGAAAGTCACATTTTTGTCCAACTGAAAGGTATAACTTGGGTGTCTTCAAGGCCCGAGTGAATAGGTTGCTTATGGGACGACGTGCTCCATCGTACGTAGACTATCTACGACATCTAGACATCGCAGACGTCGGCCCATCAAATACAAAAAACCTTTTACGATGCGTGCAAACAACACTAGTTGAACTTTAAGCTGTAGAGTTGTCAATAACCGGCATCCGATGATTACCGGTCACTTCCCGTGCAATACTAACTTTGACTGTACCTGCGACCGTGCATTGTCTGTCGTTAATACTACGACGAACATTTTGTAGGGTTGTGTATCAGGTACTTATTCATATAATCAGGTACTTACTGACTAGTCAAATTCAATAGTCAAAGTCAAAATCATTTATTTCAATTAGACCAGGAAGGCACTTTTGAACGTCAAATCAAAATATTTAAATATTAAATAATAAGAAAAAATGTCAGTCTGTAGGTCAGTCCTCTAGTGAAGCTATTTGCTCGTTCCAAAGTGTAGATTCCTATGGAGAAGAACGAGCAAGAAACTCCATAGGTTACTCTTTTTCAATCATGTTCACAATACAATACTTTTTTTGGAACTGTCAAAAACGAGAGTTTTCTATAAATTGTGTATTGTGACGTTATGTTTTTTTAGCGTCAAACAGCATAATTATTTTTTTAAAAATATGCGCCGGAATAATACTAAAATTAATTTGGTCATAAAATCAATTAATGAATGCGTGATTATTTTTCTATATTTCATTGCATTGAACAGTCAAAATAATTTAAATTTGATTAATGATACCCTTTATTACAAGAATCACATTTTTTATACAGTACGGTCCGCCATGTCATTGATGTCAGAATAATCTCGACCAATGACGGCCCGAGAATGCGATCGAGCTAATTTCAAAAAAAAGTTCCAATTGACAGTTAGGTACATAAAAGCCTAGCTATTAGCAGCTAAACCATAAATTAATTAGGAATACATTTTTTCTCCCAACTGCCAACCCTTTATTTTATTATATTTTTTAAGGGGAGAAAATCATCAAATGAATGGCTTCTCCTGCCTGGGTGAGACGGAAGGGAGTGTCAGACTCTTACTGACTGTAAACCACCCCGTTCCTACTCGTGAACTTCGAACCGGAGCCCCGGTAACCTTTTACGTTCTCGGCATCAGCCCTATTGAGCCCCATCCGTGGTGGTCTGATGGCTCTTTAAGGCGCACACGGAAAGCGACGCGCCGCAACTGCCAACCCTGTCTTCAAGATATTACACCTTAAAACTAACTTGTCGAGTTCATTGGCCCTGCATTCAGCGCTTCTCATACGACCAACATAACAATTACCACTTGCATAATTGCTATGTCAAGGGACATAAAGTCGAAAATCGTTTGTGTTGATTGATTTATTATCTATGCAAGGTTTTCGCGAGGATTGTAGGACATTTACCGTCTTTATAATACTTATGTAAGGGAAATAAAGTTCAGAATCGTATGTGTTGATTGATCTGTTATTTTTGTTAGGTTTTCGCGAGGATTGTAGGATGTGTAACATTTACCGCCTTCTTAATTCTTATTTCAATATTTTTGCAAAGTTTACTTCGTGAGTCTGGTCCTGGTTGGGCATAGAAGTACATACTATGACAAGTGCAGTCTTCATAATTACTATTTTGAAGGCCATAGAGATGAAAATCGTATGCCAGAATTTGTTATTTTTGTATATCTGTTTCCCAAGACTTCGGTTTGTTAAAAGTAAATTGTGTTTGTGTTTTTATAATTGTCTTATGATTCGAGTGCTTGAGTGACTCATTAGACAGAAATATTGAAAGTTGCGGGTTCGATCCCTAATACCGGCAAACATTATTGTTTTAAACTGTTTTACCTACGTCTACTGTATTGTACCAACAGTTGATTTCACTGCTTACCTCTTCTAAGAATAACAGGACAAAGTTCCTATAAAGGCAATGTATACGCAACAAAGCAACATTATAAGATTATAATCTACTTACAATCGTTAAATTAACCATAATCTTATCTTAAACAAATACCAACTTTAACACTCTGTAAATAGAGTTAATTTCTGAATAATTATAACTCTCGAACCGACTATTTGAACATTTAAGTTCCAATCAAAACTAAAACGTAACATCTCTTTGATAGAGTTCATATTCGAAAATCGAAAATCACGTATGAACTAGATTTAATCTACTTAGGAATCTGAACTTTATACTACAGGAAATAGAGAATATTTTCCTATATAACGGTGAACATGTTTGAACCGTTAACATATGCCTTGTTAACTGTCACATCGCATGCACTATTGCGATCTTAAACACTATAAGAAAACTACAACGTTTATTTACAGGTCATGCAAATGATTTTAAACTCTTGCGCTATACAAATAAGAATGATTAGAGCTGCAATAAGAAGTTTGTAATGCAAGTATTATTTAGATTTTGTAACTACAGCTTTATGATAATGAGATAGGGTTTAAAATGAAATGGAAGTGTTTAATTTGCACTTGCATTTGTTTTGTATAATGTTTTTTACTGTTGTCTGTCATTGAGGGGATAGGTAGAGATGTACATTGTAGTAGTTTCATTTGTCCAAGTTTTAGCAGTTATGTATTACTAGCTTTTACCCGCAGCTTCGCTCGCGTCACAAAAGGATGAAAATAGCCTATGTGACATATACCAATGCACACAGCGCCATATATACCAATTCTTTTGTTTTCCCTCGGGAATATCGAAATTTTCCGGGATAAAAAGTACCCTATTATTTAATCCGAATTTCTAACTTTACGTCTGCAAAAATTCAAAGCAATCGGTTTAGTAGTTACGGCGTGAAACCGGAACAAACAAAAAAACAAACTCACTTTCCCATTTATAATAGTAAGGATTTTCCTATCGTGTTTTCCGTTCATATTTAAGAATTAATTACTCAAAATATTTATTGAATGATTGGCTCGAGAGTCAAACCGAGGACATCCTAATCGACACTAGATTTAATATTATATGACCTTTCTTTTACAATTGGTTACCTTATTGTTCAAGTGGTTACAACCGTGACTACCTCGCATGTTATTTCGGGTTCATTGACAACCTTTACTAATTCTTCCATCTCCTTCCAGCATACTGGGGTCGCGATGGCGCAGGCGGCGGTGGCGCGGCGGCTGCCCAGGCGCAGGCCCAAGCCCAAGCGGCACTCTTCGGGTTCGGTTCCAGATACCCGCCCCCCACCACTTTGGGGGTCGCTGCCAACCAAGCTGCCTCCCTTGGCCTACACCCCGCTGCCAGTAAGTACAATGGTATGAGCTTTTCTGGTTTTTCTATTTTAGATTTTAATGTTGTATGTTTAAGGTTGTATTTCACTTGTCTGAATCTGGTGATTGGACTGGAAAAAATTGTGTTGGATTTACTTGCATTATTTATGGTTTTGGTGCATGCATAGTCTAACATCAAAGTCAAATCATTTATGTATTCCAATTAGACCAATATAAGGCGGTTTTAAACGTCAAATAAATTAAAACTGTCAGTCTGTCAGTCCTCTAGTTGCTCTATTTGCTCATTCCTATGGAGAAAAACGAGCAAGAAACTCCAAAGGTTACTCTTTTTCAATCGCTTTGACAATATAATTGAATGCACGGCCGGTGGCTGAGCGACCGGCTGTTGAACAACGGCGCAACTTGAAGCGGGTTCAATTCCCGCATGGAACAAACTCTTTGTGAGATCCAAAAATTGTTATTTTAGGTATGAATATCATTTGTATGTGAACTTGTATGTTTTTAAACGCACCCACGACACAGGACAATTTCATAGTGTGGGGCAAAGTTTCGTTTTGTTAAATTCTTGATTACATTGTTTAATTGCATTGCTTGTGATCAGTACATTTATTTCAAATATTTTTTTTTTAATAGTAAACAAATAAACTAATAACACCTCCCATCTCCAGGTGCAGCATGGTGGTCGATGGCGTCCCACCTGGCGGCGCAGGACTACCTGGCGAGGCTACAGGCCTCAGGCCTGAACTTCCCTCCTCTCGCAGATCCTTACGCTGCCCTCTCAGCCCTCTCAGGCAGTGGGGGCTTGAAACAGCCACAAAAACCTGGGAAATTGTCTAGTCGGAATGAGAGGTGAGATTCGAAGACAAAGTCAAAGCTTTTCGCATCGCATACAGCGAATTTTGAAACTTCAACATAGCGTTGGCCGTCAGTTTGTCCGTCAGTGAAGCTTCCTCGTTCCAAAATAGAGATTAGAATGGAGAAGAACGAGCAAGATACTCCTTGGTATAACATTAGAGCTTGTTCTAACTTTGTTTTCCTTATTATAGCGGTCTTCAAAAAATGTCTAGCTTTCGGGGAGAAAGATTAAACAAAGCATTCAGGTAGAACTCTGTGCCTTTAATTTACACCGCGTGCGGGCTCACTCTCGCCCTCTCTCTCTATTTATTGATAGTTCTGATTGATTACAAAATAATAGAAGAACAAAAAGTGCGATTTGAACCCATTAGATATAGCATCTTTGTGGTTTGTTTACAAACATATCACACCGATCTTAGCCTAAAATAAAGGATTAAACTTAACTTTTTTATCTTACAGCTACAAGCTAAAAGCAACCTTACCACCAGCACAATGAAGTATCAAATTCCTTAACTATCCTTTTCATTCCAGGTCAGGCAGAAGCAGTACATCATCCAGCGCGTCCACAAAGGACAAGAGTCCATCCACGGGCAGCGCCAACTCACAGAGCATGAGTGAGTGGGGCACGTATCTATATCCAATTCAAATTAGACTATGAAATACTAGTATTACAGAATATTTTACTGTTTTTGGTATTGTTGACACATGTGTAACGAAATTAAGACCTTATTGCTATAATATTAAAGATAGTTCTGCTGTGAAAGGTACTTAAATGAAGTTTTTAGTGATAAGACACCAAAGTATTTAAAATTACACATAATGTACCTTAGTACATTTACTAATAATGATGATGCTGAAATTTTAATTTGTACCCATCTCACAGAAAACCGACGTGAAGCAACGCTTGCGTTGTGTTTCGTCGTGTGAGTGAGGTTACCGGAGGGCGAATTACCCTCCCCTTCCCCGATCTCCCCAATCCGTGAATCCCCAACGATCCTCAAACTCCTAATCCCCAAAACGTCGGTAACGCACTTGAAACGCCTCGGTGTAATAATCAAATAAAATAAATTTTTAAAGAAAAATGAAAAAAATTAAGTCTTGTCCATGGTCAACAGACCTGAAATGATAGACTACAATATCTAGTATTATCTGTGGACCATAGACAAGGAACACCCTTCTTACTTGATTCATAGGAACACAGTGTATAAAAAAGTTTATTATTATATTAGGTATTATTGATTATCTTATTAATTTACTCATTCAACTTGTTATTTAATAAGCCTTTTAACTATTCCATCAACGAAATTAATTATCTTCCTTGATCACCTATAATAACCGCTTCATCATTCCAGGATCATCATACGGTCTTCCGAAAACATCATCACCATCAGCGATGCATCATTCCCAGTCACTGTCTAGCCTGGCCTCGTTGAACAGCCTCGTGGCTGCTCCTCATCAGAGCAAGCCTAGCAACAAACCGCCTTCTACTCCTCAACCTTCCAGTAAGTAAAACTTAAGATATTAATCCTCAAATCCTCAATCTCTATAACATTTGTAACTCCTCTGGTGTTGTGTCCATAGGCGGTACCAATTGCTTATCATTTGGTGATAAACCAAGCCTATATTAAATAACGGGTTTTTCACACAACTGTTTGACAATGTAACACGATTAGTTTCGAGCCACGTTGGGGCCCATAGACACGACCGGTAATTGCGATATACGACATGACACGTGATAGTGTTTCATATAGCGTTATGTGAAACAAAACAGTACCTATTTGCTTTAACATTTTAAAACCATTGGCTGTCTCATTGGCCGAGTGGTCGCAAGTATGACTGCCGGGCAAGGGGTCTCGGGTTCGATTCCCGGGTTGGGCAAAGTATTACTGCGTTTTAAAAAAAATCTCAGTATTAGCACGGAGTCTGGAATGGTGCCCGATATATGGCAATAGGCTCACCCCCTATTACATGGGACTCATAACATAAATAGTGAAAAGTGGGTGTTACATTGCACAGTGACACTAAGTGCTGCAATGTGCACCTCTGCCTACCCCCTTGAGGATTAAAGGCGTGATGTTATGTTATGTTATTTTAAAACCAATTTTTGTACACATAATCTTATTCATTTATTCATTAGCTTATCATAGTAAACATTTAACCATAATTAACATGGAAACTTTCTCCTCTTGCAGAGAAGCCATCATCCTCGTCATCGTCATCGAAGGGCAAGGAGCGTGAGCTGGCCCTCCTCCGCGGCGACCTCATGCTGGCGCAGGCCGCCGCGCATGGAGCATACCATGCTGCCGTCGCTGCAGCTGCTAAGGGGAAGGTCAGCATACTAATCAGTGATATATAAAAGCTGAAGTATTTGATTATGGCTTCTGTCACAAATTAGGTGAATTCCTTACATCTGTAAACCAGCCGGAGGGAGATTTTGTACAGAATTGTTAATTTTACTTGCATAACAGTATAGTAAACTGAAAACCTTCCACTTAGTTCTACTCTTGATAAAACCGACGTACCCATAAACTTTTATACTTCACATACGTAATATCTTATGTGCACGGTACTATACTTCGGTGTCAGTTACCCAAGACTATGGAAATAATAGGGAGCTACTGAGAACCGCAAGGAATTTCAAGCTAGAAGCAGGGTTTGCAATGGGTTGGTTTTTAGTCAGTAAGAGTCTGACAAAGTGAAGCGTGGGAGAGCCATGCTTAGGAACGAATGGGCCGGCTCGACCGGAGTGGTACCACGGCCTCACAGAAAACCTTAATGAAACAACGCTTGCGTTGTGTTTCGTCGTGTGCTTGAGGTTACCGGAGGCCCAATTACCCCTCTTCCCAGTCTCCCCAATCCCCGAATCCCCGACAATCCTCAAATTCCAAAAAAATTGGTAACGCACTTGTAACGTCTCTGGTGTTCCAGGTGTCCATGGGCGACACCGATTGCTTACCATCAAGTGATCCGTCGGCTCGTATACCGGGTTATCCCATAAAAAAACACTCCCTCACGCCTCACCCAGGGTGGGAGGAGACATTCACTGATTTCCTCCCTCATACGGGACTCCCTGTTAAGTTTTTTAACAAAAACCTGACCTTATACCTACTTTACTTACAGAACATGTCACCTCTATACCCGTTCGGCATGCCGGGCGCGGACAAAGATGGCCGCCACGCCGGCATCGACTCCCTCACTGGCCTACCACACACTATACTTAGGTGAGAACATTGTTTCAGTTTCCTTAAATTAAAAATGTTTAGGTAAAGTGTCGAATACATAATTTGATTTAAAATTCGTTCACGTAAACTATTTAAGAAAAGCTCTACTACTGAAATTAAAAAAACACCAGTAATATTTTGCCCGACCCGGAAATCGAACCCGAGACCCCTTGCCCGGCAGTCGCACTTGTGACCACTCAGCCAACGAGGCAGTCCTGGAATTGTGCCCGGTATATGGCAATAGGCTCACTACCTATTACATGGGACTCATTAACTCAAAACATAAATAGTGAATGTGAGAGTCACATTGTACCTACCTCTTCGGGGCTAAAAAGGCGTGATGGTATGTTATGTTACGCCAGAAGCAGGCGACACGTCACGCAGCGAAACAATAGTCCTAAAATGCAATTTTAACTTTTTGCTCTAATTTACTTTTTCGAATAGCACAATTTATCTGAATAAAACTAATGATATTTATGTTTGTTCTCCCAGTGCTGCTTTAGAAGGAGGGTAAGATATCTTATTGCACAAAAAACCACAGTTTCTTAACCTTAAAAAAAAATAAAGCATACTTATACAATCTTACTAGCAAAGCCGGCGAACTCCGCGCTCTGATTCGTTGGATTATTGGCGCCGGCCAATCAGAGCGCCGAACGCGTACTCGTTACGATTACTTTAAACGAAAAAGAAACTCGTACTAAAGCCTCAGATTACTTCGTTTTATGTAACACTAGGTTTTACCCGCGGCTTCGCTCGCGTCACAAAAGGATAAAAAGTAGCCTATATGACATATACTAATGACATATCCACACAGCGCCATCTATACCAATAATTTCGTTTTCCCTCGAGAATATCAAATTTTTCCGGGATAAAAAGTACCCTATTATTTAATCCGGACTTCTATTTATACATCTGCAAAAATTCAAAGTTAGCTGCAAGAGTTACGGAGTGAAAGCGGAACAAACAAACAAACAAACAAACTTTCCGATTTATAATATTAGTAAGGAAGTAAGGATTCCGTTTGGTGATTAAACGATAAAGAAAAAATTTATTCCTAAACTTTTTTTGCTATATACCTACCCCACGGAGCTCGAGACCTTTCCAACGAATGCAAAACCGTGGAAATCGGTTCGTGCGTTCTGGAGTTATAGCGTCAGGAAGGAAATCCTGGCTTAATTTTATATAGTAGATAGACTAGCGGACCCAACAGACGTTGTCCTGCATATCCACTTGAATGTATAAACAAAAATTCATTCAAATTAGTTCAGCTGTTTAGGATAAATAACCTAAACATCGACTGCAGCGCCATCTGCCGGGCTGATTTGTGAATCTAAACCATTCCCAGATCCCCTTGAACACACACAAAAATTTCATCGAAATCGGTCCAGTCGTTTGAGAGAAGTTCAGTGACATACATACTCACAGAAAAATTATACATATAAAAGATGAAAGTTGTTCCAAGTCTGTCTGTCATATGTTACATACAAACGACACGATAAAAATAATATCTTCCTTTTACCTCTAAGCAACTGTGGTTTTCTTATAAGTTAATATTTTTAAGAAAATGTTTATTTATTTTGTGTATCTTATCCTCAGTGATCCATCTTCAGTGCTGGGCGGTGTCCGACTGCCTCCTGACACTGAGATTATCAAGTACACCTCCTCACTGGCTGGGCCTAAGGTAAAATACAATTATTTTTAACTAGTAGATGCCAGCGACTTCGTCCACGCGGAATAGTGACTTAGGATAGTTCTTCACAGCTCCTCTCCCATAGGTGATAGCGTGATAATATGTAACCTATATGTTGACTCGGCCTATTTGTAATATTTATGCAAAATTTGAAGTAAATCTATGCAGTACTTTTTGATTTTAGCCCCGACATAGATACAGACAAACAGACAAAAATTCTAAAAACTATAGTTTTGGTTACGGTATCGACTGTAAATCACGCCTCAAGCATTATTTAAAAAAAAATATTCGATGTACAGTTTTCACTTTCCTACGATTTTATTATATGTATAGATATAGGTAGATATTGGTATCAATCTAACTGGAGAAGTACATTACTACATACAATTCAATTGGTTATTGATAAATATGATCTGAATTTGTTGTAGTCATCGTTAAGCGGAAAATAACGTATCATCTACGGGAGAGGAGGTGTGAAGAACTATCCAAAGTAACTATTCCACGCGGAAGAAGTCGCTAGCAGCTTAATGCTGTTAGCATTTAGTCCTCCTTATGCAATAGTATTGTATAAAACTTAAATAAAAATAAAAAAATAAATAATTTATACCTTAACTCCTCAGGCGGGTGCTGGCACGACGACCCGTGGTCGTAAGAAGACGATATCCCTCGACCCGCCGCACGTCAGTGTACACCCCGCCGACAGAAACGCACCGCTACCTAGCAAACGGCCTAAACTTGTGAGTTCTATAACATAACTTTATTATTGTTATCTTTACCATTCACGGGACCACAGGGTCCCGGTCATTTGGGAGGCGTACGAGGGGCCGAAGCCAACTGCGTAGAGGCCCTTTAGACAACTTTAATATAAATGTACTGGACACACAAACCGGCGACTATCCCTGTATGCACTATGGAAATGCACCCAAGGACAGTCCCCGGTTAGTGTAGGACTATTGTGGTTAATGGAAAAAAAGGTAGGGCTATGGATGGGTTGCTGTGGACTGGTAAATTGGGAACTATGGATGACTATGACACCTGCCGATTGTTGTTATTGTTATTATTAGTTGAAGGGATTGATAGAAATAATAAAATATTAAATGTTGGTATTAAAACTTTCATGAGACCAATATTGCAAAGCAAAGCCTCTTCTCACACGGAGATGGTTTGAGTATCAAGTATGGGAGAGCCATGCTTCGGCACGAATGGGCCGGCTCGACCGGAGTGATACCACGGCCTCACAGAAAACCGACATGAAGCAACGCTTGCGTTGTGTTTTGTCGTGTGAGTGAGGTTACTGGAGACCCAATTACTCTACCCTTCTCCAATCTCCCCAATCCCTGAATCCCCAACGATCCTCAAACTCCTAATTCCCAAAAGGCCGGTAACGCTCTTGTAACGCCTTTGGTGTTCCATGTGTCCATGGGCGACGCGGATTGCTTACCATCAGGTGGCTACATCTACCAGACGGACATTAAAATACAAATTAGGCATCTTCCCTATTATCATTTTTTTTGGAAAATCCTGGCTTATTCCATAAAAAAACATAGAGTTTGACACGAGGTTTGTATGCGCATCGAAGAATCTTATCAGGCATAAAAGTCATAAACAGTTTTACACTTTCAGGGGACGACAACCTATACCAACCTCTATCACCTCAAAATATTTAGCGTGAAGTAACTAAGTAATATTATTTGTTGCTAGGACGAGTACGGTAACTCCCGGTCGTCAGTGGAAGTGATCCGGTTACCGACCAAGCCGGACCGTGCCGGACACAACTCACTGTCCGGTACGCCACCGCCTAACCTATCCGATTATGCAGGTATGTTTGTTATTTACTTATAATATAAATCATTTATGTAACTTGATGTGGTAGACCCATACTTCGGCTACACTGCTGGGTTTCGACCTACCTTAGTACCTTAGTAGTAGTGGTTTCTTGTCAGTAAGAGTCTGACACTCCCTCCCGCCTCACTCAGACGCAAGCAGTCATTCGATGATTTTTCCCCTTTAAAATAATATAAAAAAGTCCTCTAGAATTGCGGAGGTGTCCATGGCGCCGATTGCTAACTATCATCCAGTTACTTTAATTGGTTTTTGTTTTCAACCGTTGTGACTGAAATAAATAAATCAAGTGATCTGTCTCATTGGCCGTTATCTTTGAGAAAAAAAGAAAGAAAAAACATATTTATTCGTCGTATATTTATTCGGCATGACCCACCTAAAAAAAAAATAATTACATAAAACAACATACAAAATAAATAAATAATATCTCAAAAAGACCTTAATGTACTGCACACACTGATCATTATCCAGTATCCACGAACAATGTATAACAGGGATAAGATATTAATATGTTCTTTATTATACTTCTAGGTATATCTCGTGAGCTCCTGCAAACTATAGCTAGTCAGAGTGGAGTGAGCCTGGCTGCGCTGGAGAGACAGCTGGCCGGCTCTGCAGGTGATTATTTTATATTATACTAGCTTTTACCCGCGGCTTCGCTCGCGTCACAAAAGGATAAAAAGTAGCCTATGTGACATATACCAATACACACAGCGTCATCTATACCAATATTTTTGTTTTCCCTCGGGTATATCAAATTTTTCCGGGATAAAAAGTACTCTATTATTTAATCCGGACTTCTAACTTTATGTCTGCAAAGCCATCAGTTTAGTAGTTACAGCGTGAAAGCGGAACAAACAAACAAACTCATTTTCCGATTTATAATATTATATAGTAAGGACTAGCTACTCACACGGCTCCTGGTAATTATAGCGTGATGTTTTATAGCCTATAACATAATATCACGCTTTTTATCCCTGAAGAGGCAGGCAGATGTGCACATCACGGCACTTAATGCCACTGTACAATGTAACACCCACTTTTCACTATTTATATTACGAGTCCCATGTAATAGGAGGTTGGGCCTATTGGCATATACCGCGGACAAATCAAAACTCCGTGCTCCTACTGATATCTTTTTGAAAAACCCAGTCATACTTTGCCAGGCCTACTTTGGAAATAGAACCCGAGCTGAGCTGCACTTAATGCAATATCCAACACAAAAAGATCTATTCAAATCTGAGCAGCATCTCCTCTTGTGCCTGCCGCGACGTCTACTGACGTTGAGTTGTTTGCGAACATAAACAAATTAAATAAACATTGGCTTTACTCTGCATAATGTGGTCCACAAATTCCGCGCGATGCGTCGCTTATGCCGGAATACTGAAACGCTACTCAATTTTAAGTCGTGCTTAAATATCGTGCCATCTCTGTCATTTTACAAAGAATTAGTGGTGGCAGAACTATACTTAACACGGTGGCTGATGTCGTAGACATATTTAACTGTACACTGAGCGAGTTCACGAGGACCACTTATTCTAGAGGTATAGTGTGTAAGGAAATATAGTTTGCAGTTAAAATTTTAATAAGTTTATAGTTAAATATAGTTCATAGTTAATAGTTTAGGAAACATATTTTAAGTTACTATGTCGAATTAGGTTAAGTTATCTGTAATGGCAAAGTAATGTATTAAATTAAATAAATAAATAAATAATATTAAGCGGGACTTAAAATTGAGTAGCGTTTGAGTATTCCGAGATTAGTCACTGAAAACAATTGCTATCTCTTTCCATGACACCTTATGTCTTAATGTTTTGTTACAGAGGCTGGTTTGAACCTAAGCACAAAGATGGGAGATGATTCTCCCCTGGACCTGGGCGTCAAGTCCTCCGTCGTGGATGAGGACGCTCCTCTCAACCTCTCCTTGAAACCAACTCCTGGTGAGTATACATATGGAGTACGAGTACAAAGTGACGAGATAGAATCACCCACTTTTGACCAGTTACGTATGAGTCCCATAATATGGTAATGCGTCAGCCAATTTCTACACACCAGGAACATTCCAGATCAAAGTATGCCATTATTAAGACATTTTCGAAAAGCTGCAAAATTCCATTTAAAATATTAACCCTCCCTTTCCCCAATCTCCCCAATTCCTGAATCCCCAACGATCCTCAAACTCCTAATCCCCAAAAGGCCGGTAATGCACTTGTACTGCCTCTGGTGTTCCACGTGTCCATAGGCGACGCTGATTGCTTACCATCAGGTGATCCGTCTGCTCGTTTACCGGGTTATGTCATAAATAAAAAAATTAGCCTAGCCCGAGAAATAAACTCGAGACTTGCTAGTCTTGCAACCACTCGACTAACGAGGTGACTACAATATTTGTTAATGCATTATTTGCATATACAAATTAATAACCTGCCTCGTTGGCCGAGTGTTCGCAAGTGCGACTGCCGGGCATAGGGTCTCGGGTTCGATCCCCGGGTCGGGCAAAGTATTAATGGGTTTTTAAAAAATCTCAGTAGTAGCACGGAGTCTGGAAATGTGCACGGTATATGGCAATAGGCTCACCCCCTATTACATGGGACTCATAACATAAATAGTGAAAAGTGGGTGTTACATTGTACAGTGGCATTAAGTGCCGAAATGTACACCTCTGCCTACCCCTTCGGGGATAAAAAGGCGTGATGTTATGTGTTATAAATTAATAAATTGCATTAATAAATATTTACATTCGTTTATTTAATTTCCTTCAATGTATCTTTTTAGCGAGTTCCCAAGCATCGGACGCTTTGTCGCGACTGACGTCATTAAGCAGCTCTCTCAACGCATCGTCCAGTCACGATAGGATATGTAAGTATAAATAAATATAAATACAATAAATTAATAATATATGTATGTGTATTTTGCATAACATAACACAATGTACCAATTGCTTGTACAATCGAACAAAATTCCCATGACCTAGTCACCCATAAGACTTAAGGTATGTACAGTCAAAGGTCAAAAGTCCACTACCACCGTGAGTGATGTTCACACGGCAATGCGTAAGTTATTTCATATTAATGTGCATAAACACGCGTGCGTACGTATAAACACACGCACGCGTACGCACACGGATAAAAATATGCGTGCGCATGTGGGTGGTATAAGCGCTGCAGCGCAACCGATAATAGTCTTACGATGGACTTATGACCTTTGACCGTACAATCGACAAACCTTAAGTTTATGTTTTAAGTAGAATTGTTGAAGATAATTGTTAAAGTGTTTATTTAATCTCTTGTTTACTCTAAATAGAGTGTCAGGCATATTTACTTGAGGCATACATTTCTTCAATATCAATTAATCGTCATAAGTAGAATGACTAACTAAAATATCAAAACTAAATTTATTCAAACCTTCAACGATTTTCATTCGGTAAATAATGTCTTAACCCTCTATTGAAACAGCCCGACGCAAGCCGGGCGCTAAGCCTCGTCGCGTCGCTCCAGAATTGAACCCAGTACCCGACGCACCGCGGCCTAAATCCAGTGGAAGCGAGGACAGTGAATGTACGTTGTCATTTCAGAAGGATTTTTTTAATGATTTTTTGGAAATCTTTACGCAATTTTTATTGTTGGTATTTAGAACTCATAGATAGGCAATTTTGCGAACAATGGCGGAGTACAGCGCGAACAAACAAAAAAAAAAAAAAATCAATCAGTACCGAACCGAACACAGTACCTCCTCCTTTTTTTGAACACTTAGTCTGTTTGTCATGTTGAAACATTTCGGATGTTCCTATGTTTGTTTAGCAACATAGGAACACGTATGTCAATTGGTTTAAAAAGGCACTTATCATCTTAAACTGTCAAACACCGCGAGGACACAGGTGACCGCACACTATTGTTCTTTAATTGTGTCTATAATGACGGTACTCAAAGGGTTAAATTGCTGAACTGATTTTTTTATTGAATAAGCGGGTAAACGAGACGGATGACCTGATGGTAAGCAATCGGCGTCGCCCATGGACACCTGAAACACCGGGGGTGTTACAAGTGCTTTACTTAACTATTAGATTTTTGGGGATTAGGATTTTGAGGATTGTTGGGGATTCGAGGAGATTGGGTAGAGGGGTAATTGGGCCTCCGGTAATCTCAATCACACGACGAAACACAACGCAAGCGTCGGTTTACGTTGGTTTTCTTCTCGGTCGTGGTATCACTCCGGTCGAGCCGGCCCATTCGTGCTGAAGCATGGCTATCCCATCTGATTTTGATAAAAACAGTAGAGTTTTTGTTGCTTGTGTTAAAATGGTTTAACGTTCAGGAGCAGCATATGATTACTCAAGTTTGAATACTTAATTTTACAAATATTGCGTAAAAATTTCCAAAAATAAAGTATTGTTTTTAATTTATGTTATATGTAAGTTGCTTGCCAGTTCTGTATCGATACAATGTCTTGCCAACGCGATTCACTGTCCTCCCATCCAGGGCTTGTAAAATAATTATTTTCATAACATAATCAATAATACTAATTACTAAAAATGTTTAACTAACATATCTTTGTATCGATGCATAACGTTTAGCTATCTATGTACATAACATCAGAACATTACGCCTTTTGTACCCGAAGGGGTAGGCAGAGGTGCACATTACGGCACTTAATGCCGCTGTACAATGTAACATCCACTTTTCACTATTTATGTTTATTCAACGCTTACCACCAGGCGAGATAGTGGTCAAACGTCACCCCATCAAATAAAAAAAAAATGTTATGAGTCCCATGTAAAAGGGAGTGAGCCTATTGCCACATACCGGGCACAATTCCAGTCTTCATGCTACTACTGGAAAATATTTGAATAAACCCAGTAATATTTGTCCGACTCGGGAATCGAACCCGGTAGTCTAACCATCTATGATTTTAGAAAGAAATTCAATAGAACTAATGTCATGGGTCGACTTCCATCACTTGTAATTTTTTTAACATTTATGCTATAATTTTTATTACATCAAGTCGAGCCTGCAAAATACTAGATACAAATTCAGACGTTCCGGTTTTATTGAAATTTCTAAAGTTAAACGCACAATGTCATATACCACTAGACTCAGGAATTGAACACAAAACCGTCCACTTATCACCAAAACTACTCAACAATGGATCTATCTTCGATTCTCATCGTCCTTAGAAAACACCGTTATTGTACCTAATATAATACAAATCTATCAAATAATCGATTTTTGATCAGTATAACTGACATTTAACTTGCCAAACTAAATGCCATAATCCAACAGCAGTTGCGGGCTGGGCAGGGCGCGAGGGTCGGCCCAGGAACCTGGGACGTGGCGTCAGCAAGCCCAAGAAGAACACGGTCGCCTCCCTCCTGGCGCAGAGCAGGGCGCTCGGCCTCCGACCTGCGCTCGCGCACCAGTTGCTGGCTGAGACTGATTTGGTAAGCAATTTTGTACTACTGACAGACAGACGGACGGACAATTTAATTTTGACGCTGCTGAAGTGCCTAATTAACCCCTCGAGCGTCCTTATGAGCACACGGTGGATCATAAGAAAAAATGCTCCAAATGTCACGTGCGTGCACCCGTTGGATCATAAGGAACGCGGACGCTCGACGGGTTAAGGATTTATTGAAATAAGTGCTTTGACTTTGTCTTTGTAGTATGTATTAACTTTATCTATCTATATAAATAAAAATGAATTTCCGTTCGTTAGTCTCGCTAAAACTCGAGAACGACTGAACAGATTTTGCTAATTTCGGTCTTGAAATGTTCGTGGAAGTCCAGGGAAGGTACACACGGCCACTCGTCAATCTATACAAATCCAGTTTATCCTGGTATCGCGTCGCATCATCTTTCCGCACATTTAACGTTCAGTTTATACTGGTTTTATAGTTAAATAAACTTATTTTTATATCTTTTCCAGGAAAAACTAAAAGCGCTTTTAGGCGAGACGGCGAGTACAGACTCGGAGTGTCCGTCGGACAGCTGTCCGTCCGACTCGGACGCGTCCGACACCAGTCGGAGACCCAACGACGCACAGCTACGATTGCCTTTGGCTTTAGGTGAGATAAACTGATAAATAATAATATTTACATTAGATACAACATAACACACAGACAGACAATATACATAACATAACATAGGCAGAGGTGCACATTATGCCACTGTACAATGTAACATCCACTTTTCACTATTTATGTTATGAGTCCCATGTAATAGGGGGTGAGCCTATTGCCATATTCCGGGCACAATTCCAGACTCCGTGCTACTACTGAGAATTCTTTAAAAAACCTAGTAATGCTTTGCCCGACCCCTGGAATCAAACCCGTGACCCTATTTTCACCTAACGTTGTTTAAAACTACGCTGCTACAAAATCCCTTACATTCCAGGTTGGAAGCGTGTGACAGTGATAAAGGGTCTGTCCCGTAACTGCAGCATCAAGGGTGACGTCACGTACTCCCCCCCGGACCCTCACGCGGGGATCACCATGCGCTCGCTACATGATATACAGAATGTAAGTCTATTTTATTATTAGTATTTTAAGTTATTTCACCATTTTGCCGACCAATGCTGTAGCATTATTAGTAGTAAACAACTTGTTTTTATAATAACTATCGTGAGACATACTAAATTTAGTAAAAACGCGGGTTACTCACGTGAATATACTGAGAAAAGCTCTACTAGTTTCGAACCACAGAGGGGTTCTTCCTCATGAGCAGCGTGCGCGGTCGTGGCAGCTCAGTGAGCTGCGCGACGACGTCAGTATATTCACGTGAGTAACCCGCGTTTTTCCTTATTTAGTACACGACTTATTACCAAAATGCTCCCCGGAGCTGGAAACAACCTAAATGGTTAAAGAGGCTCCGGCTCGAAGCAAGAGTAGGAACGAGGTGGTTTTCAGTTAGGAAGTGTCTGACACTCCCTCTTGCTTCATCCAGGGCGGGAGGTGACATTCAATGATTTTCCAAGAAAAAGGAAGCGTATCGTTCTTTTCATTAAATTATGTATTAAATTACATACTATTGGAATTTAACTAGGTACTGACTGCATTTGAGTATTACAACTCTAAAATACCGCTATGACAATAAAGATCTTATTTAAGACATTTTGTGAGCGAAGAGGCAAAAAAACTAATATTTTAATACAATTTATCTCAGGCTGTTTCAATTATTTGGTATAATCTGTGATGATCTCTCGTCTGTGGTATTTCCAAACCGATACGACCTTCAAACCTTAAAGAAAAGAGCGTATTCCTTTTTAAAATGCCGGCAACGCATCTGTGACTCCTCTGGTGTTGCAGAGTCCATGGGCGGCGTTGATCGCTTTGTAACTTAATAATAATGTTTATTAGAAATCAATTTTTTTATGGCATATGCCGAGTAGTAAACGAGCCGACGGATCACTTGATGATAAGCAATCGGCGTCGCCCATGGACACCTGGAACACCAGAGGCGTTACAAATGCGTTACCAGCCTTTTGGGGATTAGTAGTTTGAGGATCGTTCGGGATTCTGGATTTGGGGAGATTACGGAAGGGGAGGGTAATTGGTCCTCCGGTAACCTCACTAATTTTTTATGCTCGGCAGTGGTATCACTGCGATCGAACCGGCCCATTCGTGCCATAGCATGGCTCTCCCACACTTAATAATACTAACTTGATAATAATGTTTATTAGAATTTTTGAAGACCTCTCGTTGAAAACACCACCAATCTCATAAAAAAGTATATTATATCAAATTTTAAACATTTTATTATTACAGTTCCTAGACTCGAACCCATGTCCGCCGCTATCGACGGACAACTTCAGTTTCTCAGCGCGCACCGTGCTCGGGGAGTACATACAGCCCGCCAGCGAGGTCGGGGAGCCATTGATATACAACGAGAATGAAATTAATAAGAGGTAAGCTGTCCTATGCATTATTTATTTATTTACTAGCTTTTACACGCGGCTTCGCTCACGTCACAAAATGATAAAAAGTACTCTGTGACTATACATCCCTTCAGTTAAAAAATCACGTTAATTAGTACCTTCGTTCTGCCGTTTAAGACAGGCAAACAAACAAATAGCTATCCGCTCGCGTGGAATTTGGTTATATCGCGCTATTTATATTTTTTCTAATAAGTAGGTAATTCGTTGACTGGTTTTAAATGACATACAGCGCCATCTATACCAATACACACAGCGCCATCTATAACAATATTTTTGTTTTCCCCCGGAAATATCAATTTTTCCGGGATAAAAAGTACCCTATTATTTAAACCAGACTTCTAACTTTACGTCTGCCAAATTTCAAAGCAATCGGTTTAGTAGTTCCGGCGTGAAAGCGGAACAAACAAACAAACAAACTCACGTTCCGATTTATAGTATAAGTAAGGATATATTTTCAGCCATGATCGTCCCACTGCAGGGCAAAGGCCATACAGTTACATAAATAAAATTGGAGTGACTGTTTGTATTATTTGTGCTTTTCGTGCCACCGTCGAGGTATAAAAAATTAATCTTTCCATCTTTTTTATATTAATTTCGGCAGTAAATCCAATAACTTAACACTAAGCGTGATGTACAGCTCTTTATATTATGTAAATACAATAATAATTTGTCCCCAGACTGGAAGAAGCCCGCCTCCTGTCCGGGGCAGGCGGGCGGCCGACCCCGCCGCCACTGGACCGACGCATGGAACTCGCGCGGTTACAACAGGCCGCCAGGGATGCTCGGAGGGATGCCTCCAATCGGTCTAGGGACCAGGTAGGATATTGTAGAAACTATTGTTAGGAATACAAGCACAAAATGTTCTAGAATTAAAACTGACAAATCAAGGATTTCAGTTAAAAAATATTGAAAATTATATGAATGAATTTTGATTTGGAAAGTTGATGAAAATGAGAATTAAATTGTGTCGTTTCTCGAATTTTTGAGAGTATAAGTTAAGTTTGACCAAACCGAGAGATCGAGACAGTTTCTCCCGGGTCTAACTTCCATTTGGGTTCTTAACATATTTCGGACATTCTTAGTTCAATTCTTACAAAATCTAGAATCGTATACGAGGAAATAGTGATATTATCCTCTGCATTCATTTTAAAAATGACGTGAACAAAGTTTGAGTTAAAAGTCACTTCTATAAATCACAAAACACCCACTAAATCACCATTAACACACAATATTAATCACCGTTACCCCCCACAGGCGCGCCTAGAAAGATCAGAGAAGGCGGAATTAGCAAAACGTGAGAAGGAAGCGAGGAGTCAACAGTTACTGGAGGTAATATTCTAATAATGACTGTTGTCAAGGTGTCAAGAATCAAAGTTGACTGCTGATGACTTTAATGACTCTCATGTCGGAATACTCAAACGCTACTCAATTTTAAGTCGCGCTTAAGTATAGTTCTGTCTCCACAAATTCTTTGTAAAATGACAGAGTTGGCACGATATTTAAGCACGACTTAAAATTGAGTAACGTTTCAGTATTCCGGCATTAGACTGGCTGTTTGACGGTCGGACGGATGTGTGTCAAGATTCATTAGACTTTGTTTGAGATTTTTTTCTACTGTAAAAGAAAATAAATTGAGAATATTGTTCAGTAATTAATATTATACAGTTTTATAAACTAACTTCAATATAACTGATTAATTGTCATATTCTTTTTGTTTTCAATTGTTTGCACTCTTGAAATAAGAAATTTCCTCAGGAATCACACTAGATATACCTATAGATAGATAATTTTCACCAGGTGAAAACCATACAAAAATTCGTTGAACAGTGCTTGAGTTTCGCATTTAACAGATAGACACGAAAGGGCACAAAAGGAAAGCTTCGCTCGCGTCACAAAAGGATAAAAAGTAGCCTATGTGACATATACCAATACACACAGCGCCATCTATACCAATAATTTCGTTTTCCCTCGGAAATATCAAATTTTTCCGGGATAAAAAGTACCCTATTATTTAATCCAGACTTGTAACTTCACGTCTGCAAAAATTCAAAGCAATCGGTTCAGTAGTTACGGCGTGATAGTGGAACAAACAAACAAACAAACTCACTTTCCGATTTATAATATTAGTAAGGATTCTCGTGTCACAGTTTTCGTTGCCATACTCCGCCGAAACGGCTTGACCGATTTTGATGAAATTTTTTGTGCTTATCCGGTATCTATGAGAATCGGCCAGTATCTATTTTTTTATCCCCCTAAATGTTAGGGGTAGTCTACACCTATTTTTTTTTGTTTTATAGACAAAATTATAGTTTTTTTTATGATACAACATACAATCTTCAATTTTCACCCTTCTACGATCAACCCTTATTTTTTAATGGCCATTTTAGTAATTATTTATATGACAAAACAATGTTTGCCAGGTCAGCTAGTAAAATGTAAGGATATAGTTGGGTTTACCAATAATTAGGTGGTGTTCAATTTAAAATAGTTCTTAAAGACATTACATTAAAACTTAATTACGCTCCGCATGCTCAACCTCATAGCGAGTGAGACGGACTTATTCAACTGTTCTCTGAGTGAATTCACAAGGAATGCTTGTTTGTAATTAGTTATAAGTAATAAGTTAGGTTATAGTTAGGTTAGTATAAGTTATAGTTAGTTAGTTAAATACTTCGCATTTATTAAATCAAATCAAATCATTTATTTGCATAAAATGTAGGTGTTTACAAATAGGTTGTTGCAGATATAATATAGTAGCCGTATACATTTTGCCCGTTTATTGGCATGGAAAATATGGTGAAAAAGCTGTAAATTCAATATAATAGCAAGCAATAATTGCGGTTTACAAATTCAATACAAACAATAATAACAATTTTAAGAAATACGTAATGTTAAAATAATGTACAGAAATAATCGCGCAGTAAGTAAATAAATAAAATGACATTATACAAGAGCAATTCCAAAGTTAGCGTTTCTCGCAATATCATTGGTTGAGTTGTTGACACACATCCGTTGCTAGGCAACGTGATAAACATTGGAATGTTGGGGTATACAGTAGTGTGTTTATTTATCTGTGTCTTAGATCTAATTATATGTCTAGATGGACTAAAATATTGATTAAAAGTCTAGATTAATAGTATAGTGGATTATTGTACTATAACATTTTTAATGTCTACGCAACTCAATACATGCATAGATAACATCACGCCTTTTATCCCCGAAGGGATAGACAGAGGTGCACATTACGGCACTTAATGCCGCTGTACAATGTAACACCCACTTTTCACTATTTATGTTATGAGTCCCGTGTAATAGGGGGTGAGCCTATTGCCATATACCGGGCACATTTCCAGACTCCGCTACTACTGAGATTTTTGTTAAAAACCCATTAATACTAAATAATACGTAATAATTTGAATACTAATATATTATTGTCGAACGTCTATGGTCAAAGTAGTGTCAAAAATGGTGTTGCTAGAATCAAAAAATTGAGTCGTTTGTTGCTTCTTTTTAATGATATGTTCCATCTAGACATACAAATTAGTCTATGTTATGTGGGTTTTATCATTTTGTGTTCCTCTCTGTGTTCTAATAGTTCTCATATTATTATTTAATGTAGTATTTTAATTATAAAATTAACTTATCCTTGAGATTAGTACATCTCTGCTGATCCCTTTGGGTGAAACATCTTGGTACTATGTCTTTTTGAGGTATATTCGCGTTTCATGTTTCCCCTAAAGGGTTTTGGCTATTTTTGTTTGTTATATGCCCCATTATAACAAGGGGGGATTCTAGAAGATGTATTTCTGGGTATATGGTAACTCAAAATTAGATAATATAATAATTTATATATGTTTATAGCAATGTATTTTATGTATGTAAATATGTAGAAATTACTAATTAAATATATGACAATTTACAATAAATATCTTTTCTTTCAATATTTTTAACAATTTTCTGTCTTTCAAAATTAAACCCTATGTAACATGTACATAAGAATCATTTTCTAATAATATGAGAACTATTCCTGTCTTTAGTTCGTTTATATGTTTTAAAACCATGTGCTTGTGTTTGTTTTTATTTTTTTATTATCAATTTGATGCTTGGCAACATTGTGCTCACCAATCGTATCTGTAGATTTTGTTCTATATTTAAAAGCAAAAAGGGCCTTGTTGGGGTTGCCAGAGTAAATAAATGAAATTGGTCACTTTTTGCTTTTCAAAGTAGACAGCGTTGGAAATTCTTAGCTTTTAGTTGGTAGTTGAGCTGTGTGCCTAGATAATATGGTATATACATACTTATATACTTCTATAATATAATATTTATGTAAAATACTGTCTGTATGGGTTATCAGTAGAAAAAATAACACTATACCGTACTGCCAAAAAGGGGGAACTTGACAATGTTGTCATAATCCAAATTGATAATAAACACGAAAAAGAATTCGATAAAAAAAAAACAAAAAAAAATGAAACTAACGAAGCAAATACTCTGAAACAGCATATCAACAAGAATCGAACGCAGTTGACGATCGAGCCCCTCCCTACGGTCTCAAAAACCATGGACGAATGGAAAACCCCCGAAATAGTGATGGGACCAGCCACAAAGACCAGTAAAGAGAGAATAATACCACCTATAAGCCTATCTCTAATCCCGGTCACTGGGCCAAAAGACCAAAACTCCCCAATAAAAACCTTAAAATTCGACCAATCAGGATGGAAAGAGGAATATAACGCGCTAGACAAAATGAAAGACTTCGCTGAAAAAGCGGCTTTTGACCTACCAAAGCGAAAAGACAAAAACTACGACTTCACCCTTGTAAAGTCAGCGGAAAAGCGCTTAAAAGCGCCCGAGAAAACGAATAATCTAGAAAAACTAATCGAATCATATTCTAGAATAACCGAATTCATAAACGGTTGTGATTGGTCACAAATACAAGGGGATAAAAAGACTGAGGACCCACAGGCCATAGAGCAGAAATATTTGAACGCAAAAAACGAATTTATGTCTCAAAACTTAATGTTAATGCCTAAAGAGAGTCCTAAATCAGTGCTAAAAGAGGTCATAGACCTGAGCGAGGACGATGATATCTTGACAGACATAATGTCAAAGAAAATAAACAAGGGCACGTTTAGTGTGGGGAAAGACGGGGCTTTATCGATATCGGTACATCCCTTGAGCAAGGAAACGATGACATCGGTACGTGTATAAAACTAAATGTACTAATTTTTCGAAAATGACTAACACTGCACGATTAATCCATGGGGATTGGATGGCACTTGTACTTACTAAAGTACCGTCTTGAAATGGTGAAGGAATTAGGACATTCTTTGTATTATAAATCTTCTTTCATCGATATTTTTGGGCAGATAGCTTCCCTACTCTATAATTAAATTATTGCTATCACATTCTAATATTCAAGAAGAAAAGAGATGGCGATACTTGCAAGTGCTGTCAATGTTACTTTTAACTGGCCAGCTTTATTACTGCGCTGTCTACTGCTTTACTTTTTATATTAAATTCCATAAAGAGCGCAATATGTAAAATTGTAATACATAGGTGGGAATGTATTAGAGACGTTCAAAGAAGTTTGTATGGGAGTTAAGAAAAAAAAGTGTTTTTTTTTTCATTCTATCCAACTCCAACGAATCCAGGAATATGTGATAAAGGGGTCGTCAGAACTATAATTATAGTCTTAAACAATAGAGGGCGGTTACTAAGGACTTTCTGGTGAAATTATACATCTACAAAAACCTGTCAATAACTTTATTTATTACTTTTCTGTTAACCCCATTTTGTAATTGCACGCTATTCACTATCTCATAGTTATGCTTTTGTAGGCTTTTTTTATTATTATTTTTGTTTATCTTTTTTTATTATTTGAAAGATTCAACTCAAAAATGTGTATTGATTTCGTCACAAAAATCAATTGAACCTATTTGGAACAAGAAGACATTTAAAAAATCGAACGAAAAAGTGACATGACATTCTAAATTTAAATCAAAAAAGAAAGAAATCAAACACATTGCCCAGCCAGCATCTTTCTAAGTTAGAACCTTTTTTTATTTTTTGTTCCATGTAACGCTGTTATAATATAATTTGCTGTACCGCTTTCGATGTTGTTCGCACTTATTGAAGGCTAAGAGAAGAAAACACGAGGAGATAGAGAAGCAGAAGATCGAAGAACAAGCTAAACGGCAACAGGTTTGTTATCATTGCACATGTACACAGCAGCTCATGTAGTGTAGACATTGGTCCAGGCGACGAATTGGGTACTTTCCTTAATCAAGCATAATTTCGACTGTTCAATACAATAAAATAGAAAAAAATAATCACACTATCATTAATTGATTTTATGACCAACTTAATTTCAGTATTTTTCCAGCAATTTTTTAAGCAATAAGTATGCTGTTTGACGCTAAAAAAATGTGACGTCACAATACACAATCTCGTACAAAATTCATTTTTTGACAGTTCGAAAAAAGTATTGAATTCGACTAGTTGGCAAGTACCCAATTGAGGTACACAAAACCAGTTTATCAAGGTATCGCTTTATATGATCGTTTCATACATTCCACAGTCCAGTTTATATTGGTTTGCATAGCTTGATTACTAGCCGTGTCTAGGTATCGATATAGCGATAAGTTCACATGTAAACAAGAGCCAATGTATTAATTAAAATACACAACTTTGCTTCTCCGGTTCTTGCACGAAACCAGTTGAGCGTCCTCGAGCAATTAAGTGTGTATTCTAATTAATTTAGTATGTGCACCTGCACAATGATTGGACAACAAAAATATTAGCTCATGTAAAGAGATTGTCCAGTCAACTGATGGTAGCGATGACTGTCCAGGCGACACACGTACTTAGGTATATTCATGAGCTAATGTTCGCATGTAAACCGCAGCACATAATTATATCTAGTATCTATCGTTTATGTTAAAGCTCATTTTTTTGCTGAATTATTTTATTAGACAAGACCCAACCTTGTTACTACAAAATAAGGTTAGGTTTTGTTTGTTTCTCATAGCTTGTAACTACAAAATCGTTGATTTAATTTGGTTGTCATTGTTATCATGCACCTTTTAGCAATTTTTTTTAAAAGCCTGCAAAGACGAAGTTCTCCTTTTTTCAAATTATCTTTTGGTTAGTATATCGGACGCTATACAAAATGCGGTGGCCCACACTAGGATTTTTTTTCACACAATAAAATCGTCGCGTCGTCTCCAAAACTACTTAACACATTTCGATGAAATTTTGAATAGACATAAGATACATGTTAAGTAGTTTATTAATAGGGGCTGCCTCGTTGACCGAGGGGTCGCAAGTGCGACTGCTGGGCAAGGGGTCTCGGGTTCGATTCCCAGGTCAGGCAAAGCATTACTGGGTTTAAAAAAAATCCCAATGATAGCACGGAGTCTGGAATTGTGCCCGGTATATGGCAATAGGCTCACCCCCTATTACATGGGACTCATAACATAAATAGTGAAAACTGGGTGTTACATTGTACAGTCGCATTAAGTGCAGTCATGTGCACCTCTGCCTACCCCTTTGCGGATAAAAGACGTGATGTCATGTTATGTAATATGGGCAAAGATGGGATTATAGAGTTAGTTATTCAAACGTCTATATTAGAAACTTTCAACCAACTAAATCTATGGAAAAAAGTCCCCCAAACACTTGTCTTCGCAGGCTTTTACATACTGAAATGAATTGTTTCAGGAAAGAGAATTAAAGCGGCAACAGGCCATACTGCTTAAAGAACAGGTTATTATCATTTTCATGGTTTTTATTAATAATTGTGTGTGATTAACATTATTATTTTTTATGTATTTGGATTTAAGAAAGATAAAGGAGGGTTTCTGGTAAATACTACCACAATTCATCATCGTCGTCATCATCATAATATATGTTGATCGTCGTCCTTTGGGCTGATATCAGCCACAGGACGTCCACTGCTGAACATGACCTCACTCAATGAACTCCAGATAGGCCAGTTGGAAGTCAATTCATATATTTATACAATTAAATTATCGAAAATGTTAAAACTAAACATAAAACGATCCGATCTGGATAGTAACACAACTGGCTAAAGGTATGTCTATTGAGATGCTATTGTTATAAAAAGTCAGTTTTAAAATAGTTTTACTGCTAAACTAAAAAAAAAATCTCAGTAGTAGCTCGGAGTCTGGAAATGTGCCCGGTATATGGCAATAGGCTCACCCTCTATTACATGGGGCTCATAACATAAATAGTGAAAAGTGGGTGTTACTTCTGTGTGCACCTCTGCCTACCCTTTCGGGGATGGAAGGCGTGATGTTATGTTATGTTTATATTTTACTGCACGGTTTGCGCGGTAGGCAACTGGATGCCGCGCAACGTGTCGCGGGTCCGATTCCCGCACGGAACAATTCTTTGATCGACAAATTGTTGTTCCGAGTCTGGGTGTCATGTGTACGTGAACTTGTATATTTGTAAACGCACCCACGACACAGGAGAAAATTCTAGTGCGGGCAACGTATTAAAAAAACTTAATAATTAAATATTTACATTTTCTTGAACCCTTTGAGTACCGTCATTATAGACACAATTAAAGAACAATAGGTTGTGGTCACCGGTGTCCTCGCGGTGTTTGACAGTTTAAAATCCTTATCTATACCATTTCTGAACTAATTTAAACCATAACATTTGTTGCATTAAAGTCCACCTCACCTGATCTTACTTAAATCCAAATACATATACATAAAGTGTTTGTCCGCGTGTGTGTTTGTGTGTAACCTCGTTTTCTCTTTTATTACAACCCTCGCTGACCACGCCGGGTGCACAGCAAAAGTATATAACTGAGGTAATAATAAAAGTAGAACCTGCAATGTAATGCTTTACTAATAGCTATATTTATAATCTGTAGTTTTCGTTTATTTTTGGGAGTATTGACAGTTTTACAAACTATTCTTTAGATGCTTTATACCTAAGGGCTCGTACACAAAACTGCGATGCGAACTCGTATTGCAAAAATGTGCGAGATCCCTCGCATCGTAAGAAATTGCGAATGGGGATGATGACAGGGTATGAAAATTAAAAATATAATTAGTCCGTAAGTTAGGTAATGAAAAAATATTAGACACGTATTTTTTTATTTTGTCGTATAATAAAACAATACTTAGATAAAACGAATCAAAGTTTAGGAGTGGGGGCTAAAACGTCATTTCTTAGTATAAAATGTACTGAGAAGTGACGTCACGCGACATTTCAAATCAATATATCTTCGAAACTATTCGTTTCTGTGAGAAAAGAAAAAATACGTGTCTAATGTTTTTAAATAATCTATCAGACGGACATTAAAATCAAAATTAGTCGTCTACCCTATTGATTCGCATCGCGGATCTAAATCTTATCTTCCCAATTCTTTGGTTCTTTTTCCTGTATCTCCTAAGCAATAACAAAAGTGCACACTTCTTTTTACGATCCATGTCACGACATAGTTTTCAATTTAAAATACATTTAGTACGGTTGACAGTCGTCGAGGGAATGGTCTCATAACATAAATTGTGAAAAGTGGGTGTTACATTGTACAGTAGCATAATGTACACCTCTGTCATAATGTCCACCACCACCCACCCCTTCGGGGATAAAAGGCGTGATGTTATGTTTGCTTAATTTTCTTGATAATAGTAAAACTGTTGGTATTATTTTTTCTATTTCTTGCCACTTCTATTTACACTTTTACTAATCATTTGCTGTACCTCGCTTACCCTTATTTATAATTGTATTGATGCTATTAATACCCCGACATCAAGAAGCTTTATATAGTAATATCTTTAAATTGAAATATGAATCTTGAAAAACTGAACAGAATTAAAATATAATTGTAAATATTGATTTACTATCTTGTTCATTGAGTATCCGATATTATGAATGGCGAGTTTCATCACCTTGTATCCCTTTTGCTGTCAATCTTAAATTTATTTAAATAATTACCTACATAAAGTCCGGTATTAGGATATTAGGATCACAATGATACCAACCCATGAGGACATTGATCTCTGTGATATAGGTATTTCTCTAATACAGGGATCAGAATTTTAATTTAGTACTAATTTAAGTAAAATCGCGGCTAACTCACGTGAATAAACTGAGAAAAGCTCTACTAGTTTCGAACCACAGACGGGTTCTTCCTCATGAGCAGCGTGCGCGGTCGCGGCGACGTCGCGCAGTTCACTGACAATTTAGTACTACTTAAATCACGTGTTGTCACAGTCTCAGATCACACATTATGGTTTAAAATAAAAATAAGAAGCATAAATGTAATTGTGTTAGTATCGCGCCCTATTTACAGACAAAGAAAATTCAAATTTTTCAAATTCAAATTCAAATCATTTATTGCGAATATAGGTCAAGTGTAGATGTTACAGTAGGTATTATAAAATAATTTGATCAGCTAACTGGATGAGAAATAACAGATTTTTTTTATAACCGCATTCCAATCGAAAAACATACTATTTCATTTTACATAGTCACGCTCTTGTACATATTAATTTCTGCAACCGACTACTAACACAAAAAAACTAGAAAAAAAAACACTAACACAACACAAACCCCTGAAACCTCAATCTCATACCAAAATCTCTTTCTCCTCCTAGGAAAGAGAACGCAGGCGACAGCATACTTCATTCATCCGTCAGCTGGACTCCCGTAGGAGATGGGAGGAGAGGGAGAGGAGAAAGCACCAGAACCTGCTGGACAGGCTGCTGGTGAAGGAGAGAAAGCTGCAACAGAGAAGGAGGGAAATGGAACTGCTTTCTGAGTTGAGGTGAGTAATTGTGATTGAAGAAATTTGAGTTGTATGTGTTTTTTATGGAATAAGCCGGTAAACGAGCAGACGGATCACCTGATGGTAAGCAATCGGCGTCGCCCGTTTGGATAGGGTTGAAATTTCAGTGTCGGTTTGATTAATTCATGAACTCCTACTGGTATTTATATTGAATGTCTATTGTATGTTTGTATTGATGTCTCGAATATCGAGCAGAAAGATAAAATATCATATGATGCTTAATAACTCCATTTACGCCATCTTTGAGATTCTTTTTAATCGAAAAATTTGTGTAACAATGAATAATAATAGGAATAATGCGCAAAAAGATCATCAAAATCATTTATATCAATTCTTAATTACACAAGGAAGGCACTTTGAACGTCAATAAAAAATTAAAAGTGAACCTATTTGCTCATTCCAAGGTGGAATTCCTATGGAGAAGAACGAACAAGAAACTCCATAGCCCACTCTTTTCAAATCAGATTCACAAGCTCCGGCAAACCGTTAATTCCTCCGCGGATTAGTACCAGCATCATCCCTATTGGGCTCCATCTGTGGTTGTCTGATGTTCAATAGTCGTCTTGTTGGAACAATTGTGTGAGAACTGAACTTATATCCTACATAACATTTTGTCATATGAGACCACACACAAAATACATAGCGTCTCGCTTAGGTCTGCGCTCATATCAGAGGTTATTACTTAGTTACTTCTCTACAACTTAAAACGTAATATTTCAATCCTCCAGGCGGCCCCAAGAAGACTCCTCACTATCCGACCAGAAGCCGCTCCCGACACTACATCGTATACCCGGCCTGAAGCTCCCCGCGCAGGCCATGGCGGACTTACTACAGGCCTACGAGTTCTTATACAACTTCGGAGAGGCACTCGGATTTGGTAAGTTCCTTATAACGGTAATAAAACTACTTTTTTGACTAGCTCATTGGCCGAGTGGTCGCAAGTGCGACTGCCGGGCAAGGGGTCTCGGGTTTGATTCCTAAATTAGGCAAAGTACTACTGGGTCTTTTAATAAAATCTCAGTAGTAGCACGGAGTCTGGAAATGTGACCGATATATGGCAATAGGCTCACCCCCATTACATGGGGCTAATAACATATATAGTGAACAGTTGTTGTTACATTGTACAGTGGTATTAAGTGCCGTAATATGCACCTCTGCCAATCCCTTCGGGGATAAAAGGTGCGTATATAAAACTAACTTTTTTCATCAGCTTATAAATGCTGAGAAAAAACCTCTTCTTATATGGAGAAGGACTAAGCATTAGGTTGCTCAAGGCCCAAGACTATCTTATAATTTGAAATTATAAGTAGGTCCCTTTACAATTTTTTTTTGAGTGTTCAAAATCATCAAATGACTCCTCTATGACGCCCTGGGTGAGGCGGAAGGGAGTCTCAGACTCTTACTGACTAAAATCTCTCTCTTTCGGACTCCTACTTCGAACCGGAGCCCCGGTAATCCGTTAAGCCGACCGCGGCTCCGTATCATGCATTAAACCTACTAGGCCCCATCTGTAGTGATCTGATGACCCTAAGAACCTAACGGGTTACCGGGGTTCCGACTCGAAGTGCAGGAGAAGGAACGGAGTGGTTTTTAGTCAGTAAGAGTCTGACACTTCCTCCCGCCTCACCCAGGCGGGAGCAGACATTCGATGATTTTCCACCCCTTAAAAAAGAGATGACTCTGTGAGTGTAAGGGTTACACGCCGTCGATGATACATAATGGACCTATTATTTTGTAAGAGATAACTAAATATTACGTATATCTTTCAGACATGGACACCATGCCGACACTGAACACGCTACAAATGGGTATCCTCGGCGACTGCAGCGAGGAGACCGAGGAAGAATTCATTCAAGTTGTGTCACAACTACTCATCGTTGCCGTGGGTATGTAGCGTCATAAAATATTGTTTAATACTAACCATTTAAACTGTCAAACACCGCGAGGACACCGGTGACCGCGACCTATTGTTCTTTAATTGTGTCTATAATGACGTTACTCAAAGGGTTAAAGTTGACTGCCTCGTTGGCCGAGTGGTCGCAAGTGCAACTGCCGGGCAAGAGGTCTCGGGTTCGATTCCCGGGTCGGGCAAAGGACTACTGAGTTTTTGAAAAAAAATCTCAGTTGTAGCACGGAGTCTGGAATTGTGCCCGGTATATGGCAATAGGCTCACCCCCTATTACATGGGACTACAACGCAAAAAAACGGGAAAACAACGCAAGCGTTGTTTTACGTCGGTTTTCTGTGAGGTCGTGGTATCACTCCTGTTGAGCCGGCCCATTCGTGCCGAAGCATGGCTCTCCCACACTTAAACTACACTATGTTAGTCAATTTAACTCTTTCATCAAATGTAGTCTATTGGCCTATATGGACCTTTGACAACTAGATATTTAATAAATCATAATGCACCTTAACTCCACGCTATAAGATACTTTATATCAATACCATAAAGTTAAAAATAGAACTGTATAATAGAACTTTCCTTTATTCACCACAAAACATTAACAATTCTTTCCATTCCACAGAGGACCCGGGTGTCCCACACCCAGGTAGACACACGACGTTACTAGGCCACGCTATACGTATGAGCGAGGTCACACACCAGAACTTTAGCGAAATACTCCGGATATATCTATACGCCAACGCTACTGGAGAAGTCAAGGCTTTGACAGGTAATCTATTACTATTTATTTAAATAAAAAAGGACTCTTTCATTCATGTACACTATTCGAGGATGCCCGATTAGTTTCGGGCCATACTGGAGCTCATAATTACGTAATTTTATTTAGATAAAATTATTTTGTAGTCTTTAGTGTAAAATGTAAAGAAACAATATATTTGAACTACTCAATCGTATTTGAATGTTTGATTGATTTGAGTAAAGTAGCTGGCAAAAGCCAGAACAAAGAATCGTAGAATGAGGGGGCAAACGAGTACACGGATCACCACGGCAAGCGATCAGTACCGCACATGCCCGAGAAATTATAACTGCGTTGCCAGCGTTATGGGGGTTAGGGATTTGAGGATTAATGCCCGAAAACTGAAACGTTACTAAATTTTAAGTCGCGCTTAAGTATAGGTCTCCAATAATTCTTTGTAAAATGACAGAGATGGCACGATATTTAAGCACGACTTAAAATTGAGTAACGTTTCAGTATTTCGGCATATGTTCTTTAAAATTGAGGAGATTGGAGAGACGAATCGAGGATCGGAAATTTCCCTACAAATCTCTCAATTCTTTATTTTGTTTAAACTAGATAGAAATTAGGTAAGTACTATAATACTTTTCCATCGCAGCCAAAATCCCTGTTATGAGCTAGTTACTTATAAAAACCTATTTTTTGTCATAGGCTTAACAGCAGAGCGAGAAAGAGAGCGCCGTGTAGCCGACCACCATCAGACGGAGGCGGAGATGCAGCATACTTGCGCTAACTCCAAGAACTCCGCCTACTATGAGCATCTACACAATAATCCTACTTACAAACTGTCCGGTAAGTTATAGATCTACTAGCTTTTACCCGCGGCTTCGCTCTCGTCACAAAAGGATAAAAAGTAGCCTTTGTGACATATATCAATACACACAGCGCCATCTATACCAATACTTTTGTTTTCCCTCGGGAATATCAAATTTTTCCGGGATAAAAAGTACCCTATTACTTAATCCGGACTTCTAACTTTACGTCTGCAAAAATTCAAAGCAATCAGTTTAGTGGTTACGGCGTGAAAGCGGAACAAGTAAACAAACAAACAAACTAACTTTCCGATTTATAATATTATTAAGGATTATTTTACACGTGGCAATAGGCTCACCCCCTATTACATGGGACTCTTAACATAAATAGTGAAAAGTGAGTGTTACATTGTACAGTGGTATAATGTGCACCTCTGCCTACCCCTTCGGGGATAAAAGGCGTGATGTTATATATATATTGTACACGTTAAAATATTTTAATTTTTCAACACCCAAAAAAAAAATGTCGAAGAAAATTCTTCCGGTCAGTTTTGCCCCAATGGCTTTTAACTTGTCAAACACGTCGTAGAAGTTTAGAAAGCGGTGGAAGTGTTCCATTCCACTTCCAAACTGTACATTGAATATTTTTTAAAAGAATACTTGACGTTTGATCATCGATACCGAAGCCAAAAATATGGTTTTTAGAATTTTTGTCTGTTTGTCTGTATGTATATCCGGGATGATCTCCGAAAGTACTGCATGGATTTACTTCAAATTTTGCATAAATATTACTAATAGGTCGGGTCAATATATAGGCTACATATTATTACACTATCATCTACGGGGGAGGAGCTGTGAATAACAATTCCACGCGAACGAAGTCGCGGGCAACAGCTAGTTTTCTATATATGTGGCATTATATGCACCTTCGTTTTCGATAAAAAACAGGCAGTTTAAAAAACACTAATTTTCCATTTTTGTGCTCCACCAGAGGAATTACGCGACAAATCGTACGCAGCGTTAAGCGTGAGCACTAAAGCGCGCATATTCGCCTACATATGCGACGAGCTGCTCCAGAATAAGAAGGTGCTGAGTAAGATAGACTCGTCGTTGGAACATCTCACACAACTGCGGAAAGAACGATACCTTATGGATATGAAAATACGGAAGTAAGTCGCATTTATTGAATATTTTAGTAGAAATCTTTCATCGTCATCATCAACAACAGCCTATAAATACCCACTGCTGAGCAAAGCCTCTTCTCACACGGAGAAGGTTTGAGTAATAATCACCACGCTTGCTCGTGGGTTGGCGATTTCAAACTTATAATTAGTAATTATAAGCCCATGTTTTCGCACGATGTTTTCCTTGGTTTTTTTATGGCATAAGCCGGTAAACGAGCAGACGAATCACCTGATGGTAAGCAATCGGCGTCGCCCGTGGACACTTGGAACATCAGAGGCGTTACAAGTGCGTTATCGGCCTTTTGGGGATTAGGAGTTTGAGGATTGTTGGGGATTCAGGAATTGGGGTGATTGGGGAAGGGAAGGGTAATTGGGTCTCCTTGGTGGCACGCAGATTAAAACGCCCGCTTCTCATGCATGAGAGTGCGGGTTCGTAACCTATCAACGGCAAGTGACTTTTTCCAAGTTATATGTACTTTTACGTCAGTTTTTTTCTGAGTTCCGGTCGAGACAACCGAGCAGTGCCGAGTCGAAGCATTGGCCTCTCACACTTAATTCTTGTATTTTGATCATCATTATATCTTTATATATATAATTCTTCTGTAAGTGTGTATGTTACTGAACTTCTCTCAAACGACTGGACCGATTTTGATGAAATGTTTTGTGTGTGTTCAAGGGAATCTGGGAATGGTTTAGATTCACAAATCAGCCCGGCAGATAGCGCTGCAGTCAATGTTTAGGTTATTTATAAATCCTTAACAACTGAACTAATTTGAATGAATTTTTGTTTATACATTCAAGTGGATATGCAGGACAACGTCTGTTGGGTCCGCTAGTATATTACAATAACCCTTTTTTCGCCAGGGTCCGCGTCCTTCAAGCCCGCAAGGCGCGCGCGGAGCAGGCAGAGAGGTCGCAGGCACTCGCACTCGAGCGGATGCAGAGACTGGTCGATGACTCCACCAGGACCAATACTCCGCCGCTACATGATGATGGTAAGTAAGAAAGAACGAAGTATTTGACACATTACACAAAAACAACACAAGCCTACTAATAAAACACAAATAATAATAATGGTGTCTAGTAGACATGCATATAAGATTGATGAAAAATCTAGTTTCCTTTATAAATGCTGACTCTACTGAGAATCAACAGTAGCTTTATTTTTTTTTTATGGCATATACCGGTAAACGAGCAGATGGATCACCTGATGGTAAGCAATCGGCTTCGCCCATGGACACCTGGAACACCAGAGGCGTTACAAGTGCGTTACCGGCTTTTTGGGGATTAGGAGTTTGAGGATCGTTGGGGATTCAGAGATTGGGGAGATTGGGGAAGGGGAGGGTAATTGGGCCTCCGGCCGGTTTTATAGCATTTTTTGGAGTTTAGCATATAAAATCAAGACGTTTTCATTTACTGTATGGAACATGTAGATGAAATAATGTAACTAAATAAAATCTAGACTTTGTTTAATCCCGTCATAATATTCGGTATTAGCAATGAATTAAAAATCTATCTTTTACTTGTCAAATTTATTTCTCATAAGGTTTCATCTCATCAGTTTTCTATTTCTCATAACCTTCCGAGACTCCATACCTAAGGAGAATAAGAAACCTCTAACACTTGATCTTCCTCCAGAGTATAAAAAAGCACCAATTAACATATCAACTCTATTTTCTAACCATCCATCTCTTTTCAGAAAATCAACAAACTTCAGAAAAGGAAGAAACACCGAAAAAGGACAAAGAATCCTCTCCACACCCAGAGAGCGAGACAGACAAACAATCCGAACCATCTCCCTATAAAGAACCACCCCCTATTGAGGAGAGTGACAAGGAATTGTCGCCCTTAAAGGACCTCTCCAACAGTATGAAGAACAAAGAGATAATGAATAACAATAAGGACGAATGTTCCCCGGCCGATAACTCGAAGATGGACAAGGATAGTATGATTGGGGATTGTGATGCTAATTTGAGTGATTTGGAGAGTGAAGGCACGCAGCCTGAAGAGGTGAGTTTTAAATCAAGATTTTGAACTTTAATTCAGAGTAATAAGGTTGAAAATTGCGGTTGAGTAGCTTGATGTGCTTAGTATTCGAATTTTAGATGTGTAACAATTTGCACGATGACAATGGTTGGCATGGTGGCTGTGCAAACGGCTACCATCTAACTAGTAGCGGGTTCGATTGCCACACGAAACCACTCATTGTGTGATTCACATTGTTATTGTTACTCCTGTGTGCTTACTCTTGAAACCAATCTCAATGTCAATGCAATTTCAATCCTATAATTTCTCAATAATTATTCAATGTCAAAACTACACAACCCCTATCGTAGCTGTTAAAATAGCATTCAGAGTACGGAATATAAAGCCAAACTCAATACCATTTAGTTCATTCAATATCCACGCAATACGGATGCAAGGGGCGCTAGTGTTAAAACTCAAGAGTGCGAAATTTTACAACATCCATGTCGATCGATCGGAATTGGATTCAAGAGTACGCCTGACCGGGTTATAATGTGTCACGACCCAAGACAAATTCATAGTACCATCACACCAGGTTTTAAAAAATAAGGAATTTCGAACCTACAACCTAATTTTGCACTAAAACGAAATCGATTATCCAATCTATCACTACATAGTATAAAACAACGTCGCTATCCGCCGTCTGTCTGTCCCTATGTATGCTTAGATCTTTAGAACTACGCAACGGATTTTGATGCGGTTTTTTTATAGATAGAGTGATTCTTAAACTGTCAAACACCAAGCGGTCACCGGTGACCGCGACCTATTGTTCTTTAATTGTGTCTATAAAACCGGTACTCGACGAGTTAAAGAAGGTTTATATGTATAATAATTGCTTCCGTGCGAAGCCGGGGCGGGTTGCTAGTTGATACATAAATAAACTTTTAGCTTTCATAACCTATCCAGTAGGGTTGAGGCCTGGATATGTACCCGCGGAAGGCCTAACGGGTTGCCGGGGCTCCGGCTCGAAGTGCAGGAGTAGGAACGGGGTGGTTTGTAGTCAGTAAGAGTCTGATACTCCCTCCCGCCTAACCTGGGCGGGAAGAAGGCATTCGATGATTTTACCCACCCAAAAAAAAGGTTTCATATGTTGGAATACTCAAACGCTGCTCAATTTTAAGTCGCGCTTAAGTATAGTTCTGTCTCCACAAATTCTTTGTAAAATGACAGAGATAGCACGATATTTAAGCTCGACTTAAAATTGAGTAGTGTTTCAGTATTCCGGCAATAATCGTACAACACTATCCTAACATCCCTCTCCCCCCAGGATGAAGACAAGAACCTATCGTCTGAGGAACTAGCTCGCAAGCTGGACAAGCTACTGAAGCAGTCCGAGCAACAACAGCTACAGCTCACTGCAGCTTCACACGCGCTCCGAGCTACCTGCTACGGGCAGGACAGGTGAGGGAATCAGTATATAATGTATCTACAGAAATACTATAAGCGGACTGCCTCGTTGGCCGAGTGGTCGCTACTGCGACTGCGCGGCAAGAGGTCTCGGGATCGATTCCCGAGTTAATGTATTACTGGTTTTTTTTTATTGTCAGTAGTAGCACGGAGTCTGGAAATGTGCCCGGTATATGGCAATAGGCTCACCCCCTATTACATGGGACTCATAAATAGTGAAAAGTGGGTGTTACATCGTACAGTCGCATTAAGTGCCGAAATGTGCACCTCTGCCTACCCCTTCGGGGATAAAAGGCGTGATGTTATGTTATGTAATAAAAAAAAATAGTAAACTAATCTACTTGAACTTTTGTCCGTAGATACTGGCGTCGCTACTGGTCGTTGGGTCAGTGCGGCGGTATATTCGTGGAGGGCATGGAGTCTGCCCAGCCTGAGATCATGGCGTACCACCAACAGTTGGAGACCAACGCACTCACTGGGAACACAACCACTGATGGGAACAAGAAGAAGAAGAAAGGTGAGTTAGATGAAGACTAGTATTGAGCCTAGCCTAGCTTCACCTAGTTTCACTGACGGACTGACTGACAGACTATTATTTATTTTGTACTAGCTTTTACCCGCGGCTTCGCTCGCGTCACAAAAGGATAAAAAGTAGCCTATGTGACATATATCAATACACACAGCGCCATCTATACCAATACTTTTGTTTTCCCTTGGGAATATCACATTTTTCCGGGATAAAAAGTACCCTATTATTTAATCCGGACTTCTAACTTTACGTCTGTAAAAATTCAAAGCAATCGGTTTAGTAGGTACGGCGTGAAAGCGGAACAAACAAACTCACTTTCCGATTCGATTCCGAAGGATTTGTTTACGTTTCAATAGTACCAAACTATGGTTTAATTGAAATAAATGCTTTGACTTTGACTTTGAGAAAAAAGTTGACCTATCAACTTTCACAACACACACACACACACACTAAGTGTTCTGGAACACTCCTAAGTGTTCTTGTGTGGATTAATTATTATGTTTTCTTTCGGCTTACTCACGTAACTGGTTGACGAGGAACGACTAGGTTTTGTGTGGGTTGTTTTGATTTGTTTCGTATGTTTTGATAGTAGGACGAAGGACGTAATAGCGAAGTTTCAATAGGATATGTTTTTCAATGTAGAGCTGTATGTAAGTATTTTGCGCTTGTGGATTGCGCAAATGTGATAGAATTTGCGCAAGTATTATTTCAGACTTGTAGTTATGGAGATTAGCGCGTTCAAACAAGCAAACAAAAAAACAAACTCTTCCGCTTTATATAATACTAGCTACTTCCGCGCGGTTGCACACGGTCTGCTTAGCGCCTATTGGTTGTAGCGTGATGTTTTATAGCCTAGAGCCATCCTCGATAAATGCGCTATCCAACACAAAAAGAATTATTCAAATCAGACTTGTAGTTACGGAGATTAGCGCGTTCAAACAAACAAACAAAAAAGCAAACTCTTCTGCTTTATATAATAATATAAGATATAAGATGATACTTTATTAAAAATCTACGTTTACCAACACAGGTCCTCGAGAAAAGAAAGAATCACCATCTTCTGAATCAGAGAAGCGAGACCCAGAGACAGAAGCGCAGAAGAAGGAAGAAGCTCTCAAGAGTGAGATGGAACTGAAGAGCATCAAATCCGAATTGAACCTGAGTGATCACACACAGATTATTAAATATGAGCCGAATGTCAAACATGGTGCTTGTAAAGTTGAAGGTAGGTAGAAATAATAGTTTTTTTTTTAATTTGGAGCTGTAAAATGCTGTTGTTTGTTGTGACTGTGTTGAAATGATTTATGGCTCTTTCTTTTTATGTTAAAAATAGTGCAATATCAAGTTAAAAGTTCTTTATTTTTTGTTTAACTGTTTTATGTTTTGGAAATGGACTGGAAGCTTATTTAATTGATTTAATACATTGATTGTATTGTTGGTAAAAACTCTTTTAAGTCAACAGTTAATGTTACTTCTCAAGTCAAAATATTCAATACCTGCTTTGATGTTTTTTGTCTTTATAACTCGAAATTGTACCTGTGGGGGTTTCATGGCGTTTCCACAAAATCAAAATCAAAGGCAAATCCTTCACTAACGTGTCACCACACGTTAGTGAAGGATTTGCCTTCATCTGTTTTCTATTGGCAGTCAAAGGTAACCAATCTCATTTCTTCTCCCACCAGGCTCATCAATAAAAATGGAAGAAAAATACATTCAACAGAAGAATAACGACGAACAAGATATGTTGGATATAGAAGATTCCATCCCAACAGCGTTTTTAGTGCAAAAACCCACCCACAAACCAATGTTCGCCACCCAAGCCGAACAAATGGATAAACCACAAGAAATCGTCAAAGTAGAGAACGTAGTCAAAAATGAGAATGAGAATGAGAACGCAGAAGAATCCAAAGACTCTTTAGTAAACAACTTAGAAGAATTGAGAAAGATGGCCGAAGCTGTATCTATACAACTCGACGCTGCGAAGAAAGAACAAGAGATAAAAGAAGAAAAAGAAAAAGTCAAGAAAGAGACCCATGATCCTTCTACAGCACATATACAATTATACTCGAAGATGCTAGATGGAAAATGGTTCTCAATCCTCAGACATGAGAGTTCATTTTTGAACAACATAAATGACGAAAAGCAGGACTTGCCAGAGTTCTGTGACAATGAGCATACATGTTCCGAAATAATTCTATGTCAAGGTCATAAGTGGGATGTATCAAATAACTTGCATTTGTTGAACGACCCGAGTCTATTTACTTTGAACAGTATGGTGACCAGTGTCCAAGTACCAGCGAATAATATTTATACGGATTCTAGTTTGACAATGTCTGGTTTAGACCAGGATATGATTGACAATAGCTTTAACAAAGATGGCAGCGTGCAAGAGACCGAAATTGAAGAGGATAGCAAGGAACAGGTTAGTTCGTTTTTAGCTATTTTAGCATAGTCCATAATATGTGGAGGCTTGTAATTAGCAATTTGTCAATATTATACTCTTATTTATTTATATTTATTTTATTTATTTATATATGTTACCGGCCAAACCCGATTTCAGGACAAACTAGTTTTGCCTAGGCTAAACTAGTTCTTCCTATACGCGTTAGGATTAACTAGTATAGCCTAGTTCAAACTAATTTGTCCTAAGCCCGATAGGATAAATTAGTTTAGGCTAGGACAAACTAGTTGATCCTGACATAAATACGCACACTCTAGGATAAACTGGTATGGCCTAGTCATAATATGATTATTGCAACTATTAAAAAACAGTGTGACTGCCTCGTTGGCCGAGTGGTCGCAAGTGCGATTGCCAGGCAAGGGGTCTCGGGTTCGATTCCCGGGTCAGGCAAAGTATTACTGGGTTTGAAAAAAATCTCAGTAGTAGCACGTAGTCTGGAATTGTGGCCGGTATATGGCAATAGGTTCACCCCCTATTACATGGGACTCGTAACATAAATAGTGAAAAGTGGGTGTTACATTGTTCAGTGGCATAATGTGCCTTCGGGGACAAAAGGCGTGATGTCATGTGATAAAAAACAGTAATAATTGAGTATGATTGTTTGTATTGCCAATTATTATTTATAACTTGTAGCGACGAATCATTATGATTTTAAATGAATAACAATTTAAATAATTATTGCTTCTTTCAAAAAAACACTTATTATTTGTTATAGGATAATTGTTCGTATTACCAATTAACCGTAAGTTTTAACTACGAATCATTATGGTTTAATAAAAATGAATTACGGAGTATTTTATTCAATTTTTTATGACTTATGACTTATTTATTATGACGTTCTAGATTTATTAGAATGTTTAGACTAGGCCATACCAGTTTATCCTAGAGTGTGCGTATTTATGTCAGGATCAACTAGTTTGTCCTAGCCTAAACTAATTTATCCTATCGGGCTTAGGACAAATTAGTTTGAACTAGGCTATACTAGTTAATCCTAATGCGTATAGGAAGAACTAGTTTAGCCTAGGCAAAACTAGTTTGTCCTAAAATCGGGTTTGGCCGGTAACATATATACTTTATTGCACACACAGAAAAAAATTGTAAACATTTCAACAGTAATTAAAGTACAATGGGCGGTCTTATCACACGCGGCGATTTCTTCCAGACAACCTTTGGATGGAATTTTAGAAAAGAATCTGGGAATGGGTGGTAGTTGCACAATAAAAATAAAAAACAAATTAAACAATCAATGAAACTTACAGACTACATATAATACATAAAAGATAAAAATGGCAATACTATGTAATAAATATATACTTAAATGTAAAATGATAACTATATATAGTTGCGTGTATGTGTGTGTGTGTGTCTTATAAAATCATTTTCTATGTACTAGTCTGTAAGCCTTCTTAAAAAAAAAATAGTAGTGTTTCACCTCCATCTGCCTCGTTGGCCGAGTGGTCGCATGTGCGACTGCTGGACAAGGGGTCTCGAGTTCAATTCCCGGGTATGGCTAAGTATTACTGCGTTTTTTTTTTAATCTCAGTAGTAGCATGGAGTCTGGAACTGTGCCTGGTATATGGCAATAGGCTCACCCCCTACTACATGGGACTCATAACATAAATAGTTAAAACTGGGTGTTACATTGTACAGTGCCGTAATAGTACCTCAGCTTACCCCTTCGGGGATAAAAGGCGTGATGATATGTTTTTGTTAACAAACTCATTTTCTTTTCGCAGGACAACGACTTAGAAAAAGAATTACAAGCAGATGCTTTAAAGCAGGACCTTTTAACTCAGAAGGCTAAAGCCAACAGCCTGAATAGTCTCGGTCTTCTGAACTTCAACGCGTTATCCACATACGTAACTTGTGATAGTCCGCCGCCCATACAAATGTCTGCTGAAGAATTAGACCAGTTGGAATACTGTAAAGTCCATGGGCTACCCAAGAAAATTGAGGGGAATTATGTACCCAGGGAATTGAGGTGAGTTTGAAATCTATATATATATAAAAGAAAGTCGTGTTAGTTACACCACTTATAACTCAAGAACGGCAGAATAGATTTGGCTGAAAATTGGTAGGGAGGTAGCTTAGAGCCAGGAGACCGACATAGGATACTTTTTAACCATTTTTTTTTACTTTTTACCGAAAATCACGAACGGGGACGGGAGAAAATGGGATTACGCGTACGAAGTCGCGGGCAGAAGCTAGTTGAAAATAAAAATATATTTCATTCGATACAGTACAGTACTTAAAGCCAAGGATATACTAGGGTTTTGATTTAGAAAGACTCGAGGATTGTTGGGGATTCAGGGATTGGGGAAGGGGGGTAATTGGGCCTCCGGTAACCCCACTCACACGACGAATCAACGCAATCGTTGCTTCGCGTCAGCTTCTTGCTCGGCCGTGGTATCACTACGGTCGAGCCGGCCTATTTGTACCGAAGCATGGCTCTCCCACATTTAAAGCGAAGCCTGCCGATTTCGTCCGACATATAATAAGGCGACAACGAGCGTCTTATGTCCACTGCGACGTTGGTGTCGTCAGACATGTCGACCAACGTGTCGCAGGACATTTGTGTGTTTGTATCCCACAGTATATATGTGTTTTTGATTTTATATATGTAATATGTAGGATAATACAGGAGCAAATAACGCACAATTTTGATTTATCTAAAACAGAAAGTTTATTGTTAACATCAATTGAAACACACAAATTAATTAAGATCAAACATGTACACATTACCAATACCAACCTAAAACAGAAAAATCGACAATTAAAGGTTTTTACTTTCAATATTTCAGTAGATCGACACTGTATTACATTAATCAGTTGAACAAGCACTTTAACTTTTCTTCTATAAAACTTTATAACAATTAGAAAATATTACATTATTAAATCTAGCCGAGGTTTTGCATTCTATCGGAAAAAGTGCGGGCTGCTGTCAGCTGTCACTGTCCCACTTCGTATCAAACGTCATTCTTGTTAGGCGACGAACACAAGGCTGGTAATAAGGCTGCGCACATACATTATACAAAGCATCTTACATATATTATTCTTGTTAGTTTAGTTGGTGTTGGTTTGTATTGTCCCGCTGTTATCAACCACTGACTGCTCCCGCCTGGGTGAGGCGGGAGCAGTCATTCGTTGATAATCCCCTCTTATAAAAAAATAACAGTTTTACTGGATATAAAACATTATTTAACGTCTTTGCTCCATGGCACTTTCATACACAACTATATTGGCATTTCGTTTTAACAAGCTTTATACTAAACTGCTCTTCTTTCCAGATACGGCTGGTGGCGTATCACCGAACCAGACCAGCTTCGTGATCTAATGGACGCTCTGCATCCTCGAGGAGTCAGGGAACGAGAGCTACATGCAGCGCTCTCGTCACATCTACCTGTCGTTAACAATACGGTAATTATTGTAACACTTTTCACTTACAAAGGAGGAGGAGGCCCAACTACACCCCCCCCCCCCTCCCCAATCTACTCAATCCCTGAATCGTCAACATTCCTCAAATTCCTAATCCCCTCTGACGTTACAAATTTCCACGGGCGGCAGTGACCGTTTGTATCTGCTCGTTTGTATCCTATTCCGTAAAAAAGCAAGGTTTTTCCACACTTCATTACCTAATTATTACTATCTTTATATATATAATTCTGCTGTACGTGTGTATGTCATTGAACTCCTCCTAAACGGCTTAACCGATTTAAATGAATTTTTCTGCACGCGTTTGACTGGTTGATTTATGAATCTATTCACAAAACAGCCCGGCAGATGGCGCTGCAGGTTATCCTAAACGGCTGAACTAATTTCAATGAATTTTTGTGGATATGCAGGACAACGTCTGTCGGGTCCGCTAGTATACTTATAATACTTTTGTCCACAGCCATACCTAGACAAGGGCGACCTAACAGCCACAGAGCTGACCCTGTCCCATCTAGACAGAGTTATAGCAATGAACGGTGGGTTCGCGACAGACACAGACTTCTCACCGATCATACAACGCAGGATAGACATGCAATTGCTTAATATGGTAAGAACTTTTATAATTATTTTGTGTCAAATTATTTTTAACCGACTTCACAAAATAAGGTTTTCAGTATCACCTGTATGTATGTATGTTTTTGCACGATTGATTGAACCGATTTTAAACTGTTGTGGCGACGCATGTCACATGTCAACGGATGACGTCACAAGAATCCTACATCGCACATGCAAAGTTTACAAGCAAATAAACACGGATAGAAAATCCCAACGAACAACTGTTGGGCAGAAAGCCCGCCAGGCACGATCACCTCGCCTGGTCGGAGGATCCTCCTTTTCCGATCTTAGGGAACTAGGTATAATCTCTGTTCCCTAAACTGTGAAACACTGCGAGGACACCGGTTACCGCAACCTATTGTTCTTTAATTGTGTCTTTAATGACGGTACCCAAAGGGTTAATGCGGTTTTCTGAAAAACATTGTTACACTCAGGAGACTGTCAAAGTAAATAAAAAAGAAAAAAGGATGGGGATGAAGCTGGTTTTAATAAAAACAATTTATGAAAGAAATTAATTTTGAATGTCGTTGCGGCCCGTAGGTCCCGCTTCTAATGTATGAGGGTTCGAAACCTACCAACGGCAAGTACCAATGTGACTTTTTCCGAATTATAATATGTACTTTCTAAGATTATTTACACACAACTGACAAACGGTGAAGGAAAACATCGCGAGGAATACTTACTTATAATTTGTAATTATAAGTTTGAAATCGCCAACCCACGAGCAAGCGTGGTGATTAATGCTCAAACCTTCTCCGTGTGAGAAGAGGCTTTGCTAACCAGTGGGCATTTATAGGCTGTTAATGATAATGATGATGGTGGAATTGCAAGATTAAAATCGGAATTCCTATGTCAAAAAACTGGCTTATTGTCCTTATACTTATTCACTTATATATGATTTGTCATTGGTTATCATGGCATAGACTTTTTATGACGTGTGAGAAGAGGCTTTGCTCAGCAGTGGGCATTAATAGGCCGTTGATGATTTAATTTTGTCAAACCAAATCAAATCAAATCATTTATTTGCTAATATGGGTAAATTAAGTTGTTAGCACATAAGTAGATACAGTTCCGACCATATTACGCCTTGAGGCATGCAAATTACAAAAATTACAGTTTTACAATGTTATTTGGAAAAAAAAGTACATTCAAAATTCAAACTTTCAACACAATTATTGTAATATAAATATATGTATAGAAACAATATCTTTCTATGTCTCTAAACACGCTAACCACTCCCATTAAATAAAATCACATATTCCAGGTGGAAGAGCTAGAAGAGCGAGTAGCAGCGGCATCAATGCAGGTAAAGGGTTGGAGACCAGGTCGCGCTGGCTCTGACGGAGCTCCGACAGAACCTGTTCCACGCGCCAAGCACAAGTTGCAGGCCCTAGAAGCTCATATAGAGCGGAGGTACCTGAAGCCCCCGTTCGTCCAAAGGTACGCTAGGTAAAGTATACCCATCACATACTCGTGTCTTAGAACGCTTTTTTGGTCTTTAAGGTGAGTTGTGGCGGTTTCTCGCGGTTGTAGGTGGCGCTGGTGGTGGATTTGGTCTTTTGAGAGTTATTAGATAGGTTCGGTGACTGCCTCGTTGGCCGAGTGGTCGCAAGTGCGACTGAGGGCAAGGGGTCTCGGGTTTTAAAAAATTCTCAGTAGTAGCACGAAGTCTGGAATTGTGCCCGGTAAATGGCAATAGGCTCACCCCCTATTACATGGGACTCATAACATAAATAATGAAAAGTGGGTGTTACATTGTACAGTGGTATAATGTGCACCTCTGCCTACCCCTTCGGGGATAAAAGGCGTGATGTTATGTAGATAGGTTCTTTAATGTTTTTTTAAACTGATATGGATATGTTTTTTAAATATGTTTTTGTGTATCATGAACGATACTTTATTTATGCAAACAATAATAAAAATAATATGGAATAGCTTATCTTGTTGAAATCAACTCGAAAATATTTATTGTATATCATAAGTTTTTGAAAAAGTAACGATGAAGTTTTATATTTTTTGTATCCATAAAAACTTTAATGCAGTTTGACAATTATGATTATGATGAAAATGAAATAAAAATGAACGTTGGATAAGCGTCTATTATCAAAAAAACCTTTCCTATCAAAAGTAACTAACCAAAATGGCTTGTACGTTTAATGCACGGCTGATGACAGACGGACGGTCGATTGATACAGATATGTAGATAATATGTGCGGGAGACGTGTGGACACAAGTGAAACCACTCGCTGCTCACAACACACTGATTTATTCGTGAGGAACGGTTGTGTGGTCTGCGCACGCATTCAGTGCTGACGCACACGTATATGACACTAATAGTTATTCTGAGAACTAAGTCAGAATTTATTTTATGTTTAATTAAAGCAATCGAAACGGGACCGCGTTCGGGGTTCTGATTGGCCGGCTTCAATGAATCAACCAATCAGAGCGCCTCGCTCACATGGTCACAGGCACATGGTCTCGTTTCGATTACTTTAAACATAAAACCAATTTATACTAAACTCTTTAGACTTTACGCTACACTAGCGCCCCTATCGACAGGAGAAAACCCTCATTGCTTTGTTTGTTTGCACGGGACGGTGACGGGTTATAACAAAGAAGTGATAATAATAATAATTTAATTACGGTTTCGGCTGTATTTTAACGCAACGTGTGGCGGTTTTGATTCCCACACAGAACAACTGTTTGTGTGATCCACAGATTGTTGTTCCGGGTCTGGGTGTGATGTGTATGTGAACTTGTATGTTTGTAAACGCACCCACGACACAGGAGAAAATCCTAGTGTGGGGCAACGTTTAAAAAAAAAGGTTGTAATAGATAATTGATGATAATTATATTTGTTTGGTGTTGGATATTTGAATTTACACAATAATGCACGCATGAATTGGATGATTTGGCTTTCAAAATTCTTTATTTATAATTATTTTTTATAATTGGCTGTATACTGTTCTATTTGTTTTCAAAATTTATTCTAAATTGAATCCAAATGATTACGTGTCTCGAAATTATCGTCTATGAAAGATTTCAATGTTTTATAATTGTTTCAAAATTAATAAAAATGATCATAATACAAAAAGACACGAGATGTGTTGGAACCTCTATTGAAATGCCATCACCTTATTTATACAGGGCGTTTGTAACTTTTTTAAACCGTAAAGGGACGCTATTGAATCCCTGAATCACAATTAGGGCCGATTTCGCAATCATCAGTTAATTTTTAACCATAGAATACAATTGATATTTATTTGACAGTTTTTAGTGTGGAAGAATTGGGCAGTTTCCTAAGTAGAAAATAAATTATTTTGACTTTTCAATGCAATAAATAATTAAAAAAATAATCGTTAGTCTCATCTATTGATTGGACAATTTACCTACTTTTGGATTTTTTGTCGCTAATTTTAAGGAAATAAGTACGCTATTTGACGTAGAAATATGACGACGTATGAAGTTGCGATCCAATACAAATTTCATAGAAAAGTATCGTTCTTGACATTTCAATAAAAAAAATGAATTTGACTACCTGTCAACTACCGTATTGTATCTGCGGAGGCCTTAATGGGTTAACGGGGCTCCGTCTCGAAGTGCAGGAGTAGGAACGGGGTAGTTTTTAGTCAGTAAGAGTCTAACACTCCTCGCCTCACCCGGGCGGGAGAAGGCATTCGATGATTTTCCGCCTCAAAAACAATATGGAAGAAATATCAAATATTCAAAGGTATTCCTCAGTTAAAATTTATCTGGTTTTGGTAAAATCGGCCTTTAGTATGAGTACTTCTTCAGGAAACCAAGAATATGACGTCATCAAAATTTTTAAAAACCCATTTAAACATAGATAAGTTGATGGCAACTTTAAATTAAACAGTAATACACTTACGGCCGAAATGAATAAACGATCTTAATTCAAAATCTCTGGATATTTCCTCCCCTCCCCTCCCCAATCTTCAAATCCCTAATCCCCAAAAGGCTGGCAACACACTTAAAACTCCTCTAGTGTCCATGGGCGGCCCCGATTGCTTGTCAAGTGATCCGCCCGCTCATTTGCCGACTTATTTCAAAAAATGATCTGTTTTTGACAGAAACTCCCTACATGTTATGTCAAAAAAGATTTTGGATTTAAATTGGCTACTATGCCTTGCTCTCACTACGCTAGTATTTTAGTCGAGTAGCGAATGTTTAGTATCTCTCTCTCGCTTCGATTTTGAGACATAAGCGAGGATTTCAGACGGTTTTATTTAGATTGTCATGTTTATATCTTTGGGTCTAGTTAATTCATTGGATACACGCACGAAGCACTTCGCTTCAAACTTCCTTGTGTGTACTGCTAAGGAGTGGGATTCTTTGCCAGAGTCTGTATTTTCTGAAGTGTATAACCTGGGTGTCTTCAAGACCCGAGTGAATAGGTTGACTAATGGACGACGACAAAAGAGTTTGATTGACAGAATAGAGCTCATTAAACATAAAATATATTTTAGGTATTAATTTTTTAGCTACTAAATTACTCGCTACTCGTCTAAAATACTAGTATAGTGCGAACTGGGTATTAATTTCGGTCGTAAGATTGTTTAGTAAATCTAACGGGTAATTCATCTCCTTGTCTCAGTACAACGGAGGCGACAATAGGCGCTGTGTTGCAAGCTGAGCATGGCAACGCGTCTGCACCGTCGCCGCAGAATACTGATGGAGCTAGCGAGGGCAAAGGTAAGCAGCGTAATAGATAAATTAATATGTCATATTTTTGTGGTAGTTACACAACTAGTTGACAATTTTTTGTGACATTTACACACTAGTATTGCCATATTTTGTGACATTTACACAAGTATTGCTGAATTATGTGAAATTTACACAAGTTTTGCCAAGTTTTGTGACATTTACACTAGTATTGACAATTTTTTGGGACATTACACACTAGTATTGCCAAATATTGTGACATTTACACTAGTATTGACAATTTTTGTGACATTTACACAACTATTGCCAAATTTTGTGACATTTACACTAGTATTGACAATTTTTGTGACATTTACACAACTATTGCCAAATTTTGTGACATTTACACTAGTATTGCCAAATTATGTGAAATTTACACAAGCTTTGCCAAGTTTTGGGACTCTTACATAATTAAAGTAATTTTTCGTAGTGTTTACACAAGTATTTCCAATTTTTGGGCCCTTTAGTAAAGATTTTTATGACTTTTACAAGTTAATATTTTCTTGACAATATTACTGTCGTTATTGTTGTAGTCGACCAGTCTCTATCTGAAATTACTACCGCACAACAAGTTTTAGGTTCGATTCCGAGATCTTGTAATAGCCAGTTTCAATACCCTATCTATCTTTAGATTTGCTTAGTAAGCTACAATTTTAACACATTTTGTTACATTGTATAGTCGCAGCACTGTAATGTACACGTCTGCCTACCCTTTCGGAGATAAAAGACGTGCCGTTATGTTACGTTAAAATAAATGTATGTAATAATATTAATAATAATTATCTAAGTTACAAAACGCCATTCATTATTTAACAATATATTAATTTCTCCCCAGTGGACAACAAAGGCATAGCACGTGGTCTAGCGAACTGGCGCGAAGCTCTAAGCAGATGCAGTACATCATCACAACTGGCCATGATGCTGCAGGCTCTGGAAGCAGCCATAGCCTGGGACAAGAGCATCATGAAGGCGGTACGTACCAGACATGTACGTTATTGTCATAATGTTTATGTGTTTGTATGTGTGTTTGTGTCAAGTAAAGTGTTATTGAGTTTTCCGTTTTTCGGAAAAAATAGATATTAATTAAAAATACCGGTTTACTTACTTAAATATATTGAGAAAACTCTACTAGTTTCGAGTCACAGAGGTCACTCTTTAGTCCGCGCGATGTCGCCTCGTCCGCGCACGCTGCTCATGAGCTATTAAACCACTGTTAAATAACTCTTCAAGGGAGAGCTAAATGCCACGGGCCTCCAACAGAAAATCCTCATTTCGGAGGCCTTAACTCGTCGAGTACCGGTTTTATAGACACAATTAAAGAACAATAATAGGTCGCGGTCACCGGTGACCGCTTGGTGTTTGACAGATTAATACGAGTATGTTTAATGTTTAAAGTAATCAAATGGAGACCGTGTTCAGGGCTCTGATTGGCCGGCTCCAATAACCAACCAATCATTTAAAAGAAAGAGGTTTTTATCAGAATTTGTCTGTATTTTTCTATGGAGAACGGGGGCCCATCCGGTGAATTCGCCACGGGCCTCGAACTGTTTAGTTTGTTACTAAGTCTGTGTATATTTATGTGTGTAATCCGGTATTTTTAATAAATTAACTTAGTATGTCGATAGTTATTATACAAAATATATATATACACCGTTAAATTTGAATCGTTTTAATCCCTTGGAGGTTCGAACTGGTCCATGAAACACTATCGATTTGTAAAGACAAAATTTAAAAATAAAGTACTTTTTTTTAATAACTCGAATCAATTCTCGCTTGCGTGAATAAATAATGCGAACCGTTAGTACAGTTATGTCGGTCCTAAGCCCGTAAAAGTATGAAGGAAAATTTGGAATCAATTTATTTGTTTACCTACGCAAACATCAGTTGATCGAGTCAATAACCTTATGCTTGATCGGGCCGTGTAGGTACCTACACTGCCCGATACGCAACGACCGACGACGACGTAGGTAACTATCTCGTGGCGCAACTTTTGGTTTCATACATTTTGCGAGTATAATCTTATCATTTGCTAATTTATTTATTTTTTATGCTACACCGCAGTACAAGCTTGTAATGAGTAGTATTCTGTTAGTTAAACCACAGGTCCATGGGATTAAAACGACTAAAATTTAACGGTGTATAATTGTATATATATAAAGAATATCATTAATCAGCACCGGAGACGATGCAGCAATAAGAACAATACGTAGAATCTTGAGGGTTCGAAACCTGGCAAGTAACAATGTGACTTTTGCAAGTTATATGTTCTTGTAGACTCCAAGGTGGTAAAATAATTCAAAGCAGTCGAGTACAATTAATAGCGTGCAATCCGAACAATGACAAAAAAAGATTGATGAGAGGTGTTCTGTAATACAATAATATTAACTACAAATGAGTTGATAAATATCAAACGCCAATATGTCCGTAGTAAGTGAAAAGGAGATATCATAGTTTTTTCATTTGACAATATTATTTCTAAGAGGAGTAGTCATTGTCAAACAACGGTAAAATAAACCTTAAAATCTTAGAAATAATGTTGTCAACACCTGCAAATGAAAAAACTATGATATCTCCTTTTCACTTACTATGGACATATTGGCGTTTGATATTTATCAACTCAAATACGCCTAATGTGCGCTCGTTCGCGTCATTAGCCAGTCGAGTGTAATTGCTTTTATAAAGCATTAGGCGCTTCGACAGTACTTCCTAAGACTATTTAGACTCCACTTAAAAACGGTGAAGGAAAACATCGTGGAAATTGGAAATCAAGTTTGAAATTTCTATTCCGCCTTGAGCATGCGTGGTGATAATTTTACATAGGCGTGGCCCTAAATCTAAACTCGCCAAACTTTAACGTTTAGGTAATGCTTAAACCTTCTCTGTGTAAGAGGCCCTGTCCTGTAACATGGAACTCTTATGGATTTTGTCATCAACCACACCTAAACCATCACTTAACTAAGAGTTACTTAGCGTGAGCACCTAAATTAACCCTTACTTATAGGTTGGTGAAAACGGCTATTAGTATAACTGATAATACATTGTTATATTAGATATCTGCCTATCCCTTCAGGGATTAGGCGTAATGTCATCTCATAACATATGACTGCATTTAACATCTCCAAAATGAAATATAAAACGTCGATAAACTACATATATAAAAATGAATTTCAGTTCGTTAGTATCGCTAAAACTCGAGAACGACTGAACCGATTTGACTAATTTTAGTCTTGAAATGTTCGAGGAAGTCCAGGGAAGGTTTAAAAGTGAGAAATAATTAGGCGGTACAATGTTTGTCGGGACAGCTAATCCTTACTATCCTTACTAATATTATAAATCGGAAAGTGAGTTTGTTTGTTTGTTCCGCTTTCACGCCGTTACTACTAAACCGACTGCTTTGAAATTTTGCAGACGTAAAGTTAGAAGTCCGGACTATTAATAATTACTTTTTATCCCGGAAAAATTTGATATTCCCGAGGGAAAACAAAAGAATTGGTATAGATGGCGCTGTGTGTATACGTATATGTCACATAGGCTACTTATTATCCTTTTGTGACGCGAGCGAAGCTGCGGGTAAACGCTAGTGTAATGATAAAATATAACATCTTTCCTATAGAACTGTCAGTTCTGCCAGTCCGGAGACAATGAGGACCAGCTACTCCTGTGTGATGGCTGTGACAAAGGATACCATACGTACTGCTTCAAACCGAGCATGGACGAAATACCTGATGGAGACTGGTGAGTTCAACTTAAACTTGTTTAATGAAATAACCCGGCAAACGAGCAGACGGATCACCTGATGGTAAGCAATCGGCGTCGCCTATGGACAAGTTCAACATCTTGTGTTACAAGTGCATTACCGGCCTTTTGGGGATTAGGAATTTGTGGATATTGGGGATTCAGAGATGGTGGAGATTTGGGGTAACTGAGCTTCTGGTAATTTCACTCACACGACGATACACAACGCAAGCGTCGTTTTACGTCGGTTTTCTGCTCGGTCGGAGTCATAATACAGCTTACGGTGGCCGATCGTAAGCTGTAGTAGTAGCCGTAGCCTATAATATGGTCGGACGATCTCCGGCCACCGTAAACGCGGGCTTGCGGGCAGCGAGCATGGGTAGCTTGCCGCTTAACCAGAAACAGACCCGAGCGTACAGTGCGTCGTGCACCACAGATGGGGCTCAGTAAGGCTGATGCCCGATACGGAGCTGCGGAAGGCCTAACGGGTTCCGGGGCTCCGGCTCGAAGAGCATGAATAGGAGCGGGGTTGTTTTTAATTAGCAAGAGTCTAATACTTCCTCTCGCTTAGCCCAAATTGGATGAATTCCCTCTCAAAAAAAGCCATTAGTCAGTAAGAGTCAGACACTCTCTTTCGCTTAACCCAAAGCGGGAGAAGTCATTGGATGATTTTCCCTGACCGAAGCATGGCTCCCCCACTTGCAGTATGTAAGTTCCGTATGGTCGCGCGCAGGTACTGCTGGGAGTGCATCAACAAGGCGCGCGGGCAGCGCGTGTGCATCGTGTGCGGCGGCGCGCAGTCCGCGGCGCGCACCATCCCCTGCGCGCTCTGTGCGCGCGCCTACCACCAGGACTGTCACTACCCGCCACTACTCAAGGTAATCACACAACACGACTTTATCCCCGCACGGTACGCAGAGGTGCACATTACGGCACTTAATGCCACTGTACAATGTAACACCCACTTTTCACTATTTATGTTATGAGTCCCATGTAATAGGGGGTGAGCCTATTGCCATATACCGGGCACATTGCCATACTGATACTTATTTTTAAAACCCAGTAATTCTTTGCTCAACCAGGGAATTTAACACGAGACCGCTTGATCATCAGTCGCACTTACGACCACTCGGCCAACGAGTCACATGTACTAAATCAATGTTAATTTTCCAACCTGCATAATAAATAACTGTGCTGACTGAAATATATATGTACATAAAACAATTTTATTAAACCTTTAGTGAAAAATGTTTCCCATGCCCTTTCCCAAATGAAATCAAGTATAAATAAGTTTATAATTGTGTCGTGGTGGCCCGGAGGTTAAACACGCCCGCTTCTCATGCATGAGTGCGGGGTTTCGAAACCCACCAACGGCAAGTACCAATGTAACTTTTTCCAAGTTATATATACTTTCTAATATTTATTTAGACACTACTGACAAACTGTGAAGGAAAACATCGTGAGGAAACCTGGACTTATAGTTTCTAATAATAAGTTTGAAATCGCCAACCCGCATTGAGCAAGCGTGGTGATTAATGATCAAACTTTCTCCGTGCGAGAAGAGGCCTTTGGTCAGCAGTGGGCATTTATAGGCTGTTGATAATGTTAATTAAAATATCAATTTATGTGTTTACAGAATCCCCGCGGTAAATGGTATTGTTCGCAGTGTATATCCAAGGCCCCGCCGAAGAAACCGCGCAACACGAAGAAGCGTGACGCCAAGCATAGAGACCTCAACACTAGTCTAGATATAGACCAGAATATGGTACCTAGGTACGTACATTATACATACTTAAATTATTATGAAGCGTCTATTTTTGGTTCATAGTATTTAAGACTGTAAAGGCGTTTTATATCAAGGAACTAGGTTAGTGAAAATTAATAGTCGTTAGAAATTCTCTATACAACATGTAACACATCTTGTTAGTTAGTTTGTTCAGAATCGCTAACTGAATCGATTTATATAATTTTAGTATAGAAAATTTTTTATCCCAAAAATAATTAAAACTACGGAAATTATTGTCCCCTGTATTGTTAAAACAAATCGAAATGGACCGTAAGTGAAAGCAATAATACTTTTAAAATCGCAGTTTTATTTGTATTCATACAAATTCTATCATTCAATACAAAATAAAGAAAAATAAACCTTATGACAAGACCAGTCAGGATGCATATACATGTTAAATTAAAAATTTAGTGTATGTATTATGATTATAACATAATATTCTAATTATGTAATTTTGAGGGTGTGCGTTAATTACATTACATGTTGTATACATATAAGTAATTATCCGTGGTATTAGAGAAATATTTCATTGAATATAAATAATATTGACGACACTCACGGTTGGTGCGGTGGCTGGGCAGCCGGCTGCCGCGCAACGTGTCCCGGGTTCCCGCGCGAAGCAACTCTTTGAGTGAACCATAAATCCCGTGGGGTAAATCTACTGTCATTTACCCCACGGGAGCGCGAAGCCTTTTGCAGAAGCTACTGCCATTTACCCCACGGAATTGCGAAGCCTTCTGCAGAAGTTACTGTCATCTAAAATCTATATATGTAAACCGAATTTATCCGATTTTCTCAATCCGAAACGATCCGAAAAATAAGACCTACTTATTTCTGAATTTACAAAAAATCTAACCTAATGTCGCCCCCAGTCCGGCGGCGTCTCACGCGTCGACATCTACAACGGCGGAGGAATGTTCCGGCAGCGCGCTACACACGCCGGAGAAACACGAAGACAAGCTGGACGATACCTTGCAGGATAACGAGAATGGAATCAACCACGCTGGTGAGTTCATTCGAAACAGTCAAAATCATTTATTTCAATTATTGATCTAAGTCTAGTAGGGAGGAACTTTTGAACGTCAAAACACAGCATAACATAACATCACGCCTTTTATCCCCGAAGGGGTAGACAGAGGTGCACATTACGGCACTTAATGCCACTGTACAATGTAACACCCACTTTTCACTATTTATGTTATGAGTCCCATGTAATAGGGGGTGAGCCTATTGCCATATACGGGGCACATTTCCAGATTCCGTGCTACTACTGAGATTTTTTTAAAATCCAGTAATACTGTTTGCCCGACCCGGGAATCGAACCCGAGACCCCTTGCCCCCAGGTATTGTTATCCCGATTTAATGCTCCCATGGGATAAAACAAGAATCACATTATACGCGGACGAAGGCGCGGGCAACGGTTAGTACAAAATAAGGTTTTTCCACGGTTGGTAAAACGGGTTGATCTCTCGATTAATTAGAACTTGTTTTTTTTTGTGGCATAAGCTGGTAAACGAGCAGACGGATCACCTGAGTGGTGGTGGATGTGGTTGGCCAAGTTGAGGTGTTAGGTCGGATTCTAAAACAACATAACATAATATCACGCCTATTATCCCCGAAGGAATAGGCAGAGGTGCACATTACAGCACTCAATGCCACTGTATCATGTAACACCCACTTTTCACTATTTATGTTATGAGTCCCATGTAATAGGGGGTGAACCTATTTCCATATACGGGGCACATTTCCAGACTCCATGCTACTACTGAGATTTTTTTTTAAAAACGCAGTATTACTTTGCCCGACCCGACAATCGAACCCGAGACCCCTTGCCCGGCAGTCGCTCTTGCGACCATTCGGCCAACGAGGCAGTGTGCATCGATATTTACGTAAACACACACACACACACACACACACACACGATAGAAAAATCCTAGTGTCCTAGAGCGTTGCGTAGATCTTTATATATATATAATTCTTCTGTGAGTGTGTATGTCACTGAACTTCTCTCAAACGACTGGACTGATTTTGATGAATTTTTTGTGTGTGTTCAAGGGGATCTGGGAATGGTTTAGATTCACAAATCAGCCCGGCAGATGGCGCTGCAGTCGATGTCTAGATTAGTTATCCTAAACGGCTGAACTAATTTGAATGAATTTTTGTTTATACATTCAAGTGGATATGCAGGACAACGTCTGTTGGGTCCGCTAGTAGCTATATAAAATAATATTTGTTTGTATCCAGGCGAGCTGAGTTCCGAGGAGGGTCCCCCGGAGAAGCGTCGCGCGGTGCACTACGTCGGCGGGAACGGGGCGCTGCAACACGACGACACTGACGCGCATATTGACGGTATGGCATCACCCTAGTAGAATAAATGTGAAAGTTTCTTTATTTGGATGTTTATCTTCAATCACGCTGAAACTTCTGAACAGATTTAGATGAAATTTAGTATACATTCACACATACACATGTGAGTGAGGTTACCGGAGGCCCAATTACCCCCTTCTCCAGTCTCCCCAATCTCCGAATCCCCCACAATCCTCAAATTCCTAATTCCCAAAAGGCCGGTAACGCACTTCTGGTTTTTCGGGTGTCCATGGGCGACGCCGATTGCTTACCATCAGGTGATCCGTCTGCCCGTTTACCGGCTATTCCCATAAAAAAAATACATGTAGGGTATGGGCTGACTTAGGTAATAGGATAGCTTTTATCCCGATTAAAAGGTACCATGGGATAAAACAGGAATACGTGGGCAAAGCCGCGGGTAAAAGCTAGTCTATAGTTACACTATTTATAACTCAAGACCGCCTCAATCGATTCGGATGAAAATTGGTGGGGAGGTAGCTTAGAACTAGGAGACAGACATAGGATACTTTGTAGCCAATACTTTTGAATTGGCTACAAAGTATAATAAGTCACGGACGGGAAAAAACGGGATCGCGCGTACGAAGCCGCGGGATGAAGCTAGTTTATATTAAAACAAAGATAAGATAAATTATTCACATAAATGATAGAGGTACAGAGTAGGCAGAGGTGTACATTACGGCTCTTAATGCCACTGTACAATGTAACACCCACTTTTCACTATTTATGTTATGAGTCATACGTAATAGGGGTGAGCCTATTGAGCCCTAGCTTATTCACATAATTGTAGTCAAGCGAAAAAGTGTGACAACAAATGCTGTACACTTATTTAAGTGTGGAAGAGCCATGCTTCGGCACGAATGGGCTGGCTCGACGGGAGTGATACCACGGCCTCACAGAAAACCGACGTGAAGCAACGCTTGCGTTGTGTTTCGTCGTGTGAGTGAGGTTACCGGAGGCCCAATTACCTTCCCCTTCCCCAATCTCCCCAATCCCTGAACCCCCAACGATCCTCAAACTCTTAATCCCTAAAAAGCCGGTGACGCACGTGTAACGCCTCTGGTGTTCCAGGTGTCCATGGGCGACGCCGATTGTTTACCATCAGGTGGTCCGTCTGCTCGTTTACCAGCTTATGCCATAAAAAAAACATCCATTTAATTTCTGCAACTTTAATATTTAACTTTTTATATAAACATTTAACAGAGACTCCGAGAAAAACACGCCCCTTTGTGGGCATCAAATCACTCGTAATTTATTGACAGATTTGTCTATTAGTGGACTATATTTTCCTACTATACTTTTTTGCATTTTTAACCGTATTCATAGCTATCCGTACTGGATAGTCATGCAGAGTATTTGCAAATCTACTATATAAAAATAAGTCGGGTTTTCCTTCCTGACACTATAACTCCAGAACGCACGAACCGATTTCCACGGTTTTACATTCGTTGGAAAGGTCTCGGGCTCCGTGAGGTTTATAGCAAAGAAAATTCACTTTTAATCACCAAACGAAATGTTACATAAAACGAAGCCATCTGGTGGCGAAACGGAGTTCGCCGGGTTTGCTAGTTAACCTTATAAATCTTATAATAATCGTTGTATATGTTTTGTCTAGGAGAAGACCGAGACACGGAGAATGTACCACTAATGTCTCGCGCCAAGAAAGAGAAGAATTCAGCAAAGAAACTACTGAAAGATCTACAGTTCTGCAAGTGAGATATAATTCCTTTTATTTAACTTCTAAACGTTGCCCCACTTTAGGATTTTTATTATTACCTCAGTTATATACTTTTGCTGTGCACCCGGCGTGGTCAGCGAGGATTGTAATAAAAGAGAAAACGAGGTTACACACAAACACACACGCGGACAAACACTTTATGTATATGTATTTGGATTTAAACTGTCAAACACCAAGCGGTCACCGGTGACCGCAACCTATTGTTCTTTAATTGTGTCTATAAATACGGTACTCGACGACTTAAGTAAGATCAGGTGAGGTGGACTTTAGTGCAACAAATGCTATGGTTTACATTAGTTTAAAAAATTAAATATTTAGTTATTAAGTTTTTTTTTAATACGTTGCCCCACACTAGTATTTTCTCCTGTGTCGTGGGTGCGTGTTCAAACATACAAGTTCACATACACATGACACTCAGACCCGAAACAACAATCTGTGGAGCACACAAAGAGTAGCTCCGTGCGGGATTTGAACCCGCGACACGTTGCGCGGCAGTTGGTTACCCAGCCACCGCGCCAACCATTTACTATCCAATTCTTTGTTTACAATACAAATTCTATATCAAAAATGTTACGATGTATTGTGTAAGTTCCAAATTGTGGACGGCCTCGTTGATTGAATAGTTTCAAATGCGATTAGTAAGCAAGAGGTCTCGGATTTGATCCGATTTGAAAGAATAATTTATATTGTTTTAGTTTTTGAAAATTTTCAATAATAGGGAGTCTAGACTAACTTATGATCGCACTGTTGGTGTACTGGCTGGGCAACAGAATGCCGTGTAGCGTGCCGCGGGTTCGATTCCCGCACGGAGCAACACTTAGTGTGATTCACTAATTGTTGTTCCGGGTCTGAGTGTCATGTGTATGTGCACTTGTATATTTGTAAACGACACAGGAGAAAATCAAGTGTAGGGCAACGTATTAATTTAAAAAAAATTGTTCCCGATGATTATGATGGCATTATACACTTTAATTAACCACAAAATCGGTATCAATAACTGACATCTCTGCTGGCCCCAGGAACCTCCTCTGTGAGATGGAGTGCCACGAGCACGCGTGGCCGTTCCTCCTGCCAGTCAACACGAAGCAGTTCCCGCAGTACAAGAAGGTCATCAAGTGCCCCATGGACCTCTCCACTATCAAGAAGAAACTGCAGGATAATACGTATGTATCAGTATTATTATTATTTTTTATGACATAAGCCGGTAAACGAGCAGACGGATCACCTGATGGTAAGCAATCGGCGCCGCCCATGGACACCTGGAACACAAGTGCGTTACGGGCCTTTTGGGGAATTATTACTTATTACAGCGTTGTGTTTTGTTATGTGATTGAGGTTACCGGAGGCCCAATTGCGTCCCACTCCCTCTAATCTCTCCAATACCTGAATCTCTACTAATTCTCAAATTCATAACATAACATTACACACACTCTATTTACGACACATTGTTTTGAGTCCCATGTAATAGGGGGTGAGCCTATTGCCATATACCGGGCACATTTCCAGACTCCGTGCTACTACTGAGATTTTTTTTAAAAACCCAGTAGTACTTTGCCCGACCCGGGAATCGAACCCGAGACCCCTTGCCCGGCAGTCGCACTTGCGACCACTCGGCCAACGAAGCAGTACTCAAATTCCTAATCCCCATAACGCCGGTAACGCAATTGTAACGCTTCTGATAATCCGGGTGTCCATGGGCGGCGCCGATTGTTTACTATCAGATGCTCTGCTCGTTTACCGGCTTATCCCAAAAAGAAATAATATCCTTAACCTGCCCATTTTAACCATAAATCCATATAATTTATTAATCTAAACTCTATTTCTTCAACAGCTACAAATGTAAAGAAGAATTTGCATCAGACGTGCGCCTAATGTTCAGCAATTGTGAAGTTTTCAACGAAGACGACAGCCCAGTGGGCAGGGCTGGGCACAATATGAGACAGTTCTTTGACGACCGCTGGGCACAAATCTGATCCCAAGCCCACCAGTGGGACGATGAAGACTCTACGTATTCAACCCACTAGGTAAATAATACAAATGAAGAAAGAAAAATATGACGAAACATATGTTTTTTTGTCAACTGATTTGATTGATGGTATTTTCTCTAAATGTGTTTAGGGAAAATAATGTATTAAAATCTCGGAAAATGACTACAAATCGATATGATTGCTACTTTGTATCTAATGCCAAATGTTTTGTATTTATTTTTTAGCGCAAATCTTTGCGCATATTTGCGCAAGTTTGCGCAATTCAATACTAAAACATGTTTTTAAGCGCAAAATAGACAAAAACTCTATCGTGTATACGCTTTTTGAATTACAATTTCGTAAGATAAAAGAGAACAAATGGATTTCAATCTAATTTGGACTTTAACCTATCAGTATAAAGTCCAATTATGTAATAGCATAATAGTATGAAAGTGATAATGATCAAAGGTTGTAATTAATGATGGTAAGGACATGAGCAAGCGAGATAGGAATACATTTGTCTCTTTCTTTTGTACTAACTGTGAGATATGTTCTGGATTCATACCCTAGGATGGGTAAAATCCGATTTTTTGTATTCTACCTACCCATTAGTCCAAAACCATGCGTAATTTTATATTAAATTATGAAGATAGTCAGTGAGTGAAAGAGAAAGCATTATAACTGACACAGTAAAGACAGAGACGGAAATATACGATGTGTGTTAAATAGATAATACTTACACAAATCGTTTAAAGTAACCCAGTAACGCTTAAATTCTATGCGTTTATAGCAAAATTTGATAGAAATAGTTGAATTCATATTTAACTATATTTCAATTGCATTGTAACATCTAAATAAGCTACTTAATGAGAACAAAAATGTCGATAAAATTTGTCGATAATAATAAATCTATCGATAAAAATAAAAACGACTACGTAACTTCCATTCCACATACAAATGAAAAAATTCCAAAAAAAAATAAAATTCAAATAAAGAACCGGATACGAATAAACATTCCAACATTACGACGACAACCGGACATGACGACAATCGCGAATCTCATATTTTGACGTATGATAGAAGAAAATGTGATTTAAAAAAAAGAAAATTTCTTTTTCGAATATTGCGAAAAAAAAAAACACTAGCAACTTGATGATGTTGTTTGATTGTACCTAGTAGTGTGTAAATAGTAGTACGTAAACAATAATTTAATATTATATAATTAATTAAAAAGAAGTATTAGAATGAGATATAGGTGTAAGTCATAGTTTAGAAATTTTTCGAATATTATTTTTGTAATTTGAGCTTGCAACGAAGCCGTATTTGAAATATAAAAACAGCATTTCTTTCTTGATATAGACAGCTGTGTAGTTTACTTTTGATTTAATATACAATTTAAAAAAAACATCACAATACATATTATAATTTCTATACAATCTTTTTATTTTAATAAAAAAACACAATTAGACATTTTACATTATTGAAACACGATTATAAATTACATTTTCACAATAGCGAGCCAAACGAAAACCAACTCAGAATTAATAACAATAATGTTCATAATTAACTCAAAAGTAAATTATATATAGCTCAAAAATACTCTTTATAATTTCCAATTCTTTGGCCAGTTAGTAGTCAAAATAAATTGTACAATTTGTCGGTTTGTGTACATTTATTATCTGTGGACTTTATCTGTCCAAATTTTTGCATTAGGCTGATGTAGAATATAACTAACTTAGAAGCTACTTTAGTGAACATTTGTATGTATTTTCATCAAAGTTCACTATACAGTGTTGTGTACTGGGGGGATCACACTTGACCATTTTTTTTTTTTAATATTTTCGAAATATATAGCCTTTTTTTAAGGGGGGAAAATCATCGAATGACTGCTCCCGCCTGGGTGAGGCGAGAGGTAGTGTCAGACTCTTACTGGCTAAAAACCACCCCGTTCCTTCTCCTGCACGTCGAGCCGGAGCCCCGGTTACCCGTTAGGTTCTCCGCGACTCCGAAAATATATAGCCTATAGTTTTTGGAGGATATATGTAAATTTAAATTGAATTCTTTATTAACATTGCATTAAGGTTTTTTCTTGTTTTCACACGATTTCGGTCGTATTTTTACAATAATGTGATTTTTTTAATTAATAAATGATCAAAAATGTATCTTTTGTCCAAATTTATATTTTTTAGATTGTATTTTTTATTTAAAGTAACACTTTGTTACAAAGCCTAAACAAAGATTTCTATTTTTGGACAATTTATTCATTTGTTGTCCAGTTTCATTTCTGAGGGCTACTTTTTATTTTTCAATTGATCCTCAAGTGTGATCCTTCCAAATTTTAATAGTAACGAAGTAACATTGTAGAGATTTGAAAGCAGGGAGATTCTCTATGTGATCTATGGTTTACTGTGTATCTATGGAAAATTTAATAATATACGTATTTCAAATCAGACACTTTTTGAACCTATATTAATTGAAACTTAATAAGATTTTTTTTACACCACGACGACGGTGGCAAAAAAGCACTCCCACCTGATGGTAAGCGGTTACCGTGGCCTGTGTACGCCTGCAACACTTGGGGCATTACATGCGTCTTGCCGACCCTTAAGAAACATATTCACTCCCCTCTTGAAGAACCCCATGTTGTAGATTTTTTTATCTTTAATTCCTACAAAAAACATTACATCTTCAACAATAACTATGTCTGAAGTTATAAGAGCTCATAATGATATGGTATTTTTATTTTTTTCCACAATATCACTAACACTTGAATACTGAAAGGGTACTCATTTATAAGTCGCGCAGGTATAGTTCTGTCTCTCCAAATTCTTTGTAAAATGACAAAGATGGCACGATATTTAAGTAAAACCTAGAATTGAGTAGCCTTCAGTATTCGAGCGTAAGTCTTATATTGTGGAAAAATTAAAGATCTATATCATTATGACCACTTTAAACTAACTTCGGATTTTAAATAATAATATATTTAATGTCCTCTGCTTAGCCCATCAGGACAATTTTAATACAGTTTTTCTTTAAATTCTGAATTGGAATACGTATTTTTAAATTTCTATTTTTATCTCGAATCCAATGTCCAAAGCTTGATCACTGAAATAATTCGCTATAAACGAAATTAAACTATAATAAGTGTCAAATAAAATTCAAATTCTCGTAGTCAAAAAATATTAATTAAGTATTAATCAGGGAACGATTTCAGTGATGCAAGCTTTTTGCTATTTTATTTTTTATCTGTGTATAATAAAAAAAATCAATATGTCAGTCATTTTTAGTCTATTAGTCCTTTTTTTTGTTTATTTTTATTTATTGTCGCATTATTTATTCACAATTTGTGTTGATGACATTTTTAATGATGGTTGCAGAATAGTACTTACATAATTATGCATACCTAGACCGATTTTATTATAATTTCGACATACTGTTGTCTTGCAGACTAATAATAACAATAGCAATAAAAAAGACGTAATAATTGATAGACATTTCGAAGGAAATAGAATAGAAATATTTTTATACACACTGACAATTCTCACATTTATTTTTTACAATAGTGCGGGCATAGATGTTGATTTTATTTTATCGATATATTTTTCCCTGAGACCCTGAACACTACAACACTATGTCGAAAGTGAATCTTTATTTTAAATAACTGGAAAGTATTTAGTGAAAGTATTAATTTTAGATAATACTTAATTCAGCTTTTTATAATTAAATAATTTTTACTTGTGAACCATGCAAGCGTCACACAGGACTTTTAACTAAATTATTGTATATCTAGCATATAAATCTGCGTATACTGTACCTTCAGGGCAACACGTTCTGTAATACCGACCTACTGCCATCGAGATAAAGTCGCCTCTGTCACAAAACGTGTTCCCCTAAAGATTATCTTTCGTCCGCGAGGCGTGAGTGAGAGGTTCGATATTCTGACGTTTATGTTGTGTGCATCGGTTGATTTTAATTATAAAATGGATATATAAATTATATATACGAATAAATAAATAATTTTTGAAGCACTTCCTTTATGTTTTATTTGTTATATTTTATTCTTAAGGTTCAATCTCGTGCATGATAACGTTAAAACTTCAAAAATAAATAAATTTCGAAACTATAATTACAAATATTCGAAGCAAGACGTTACAATGCTACAAAAGATAAAAGCAGACGGCCTGCGCAAGTGAGTTGCGCATGTGATAAAAAGTACTAGGGTCGCATAACACAATAAGAGGTGATCCGTAGTCCGTACTGCAGATTAGGGTGACATAATAAAATAGTAATATTCATATTATCTTTATTTGCATTCCATAATGTTTCTTAGAATGTTACATTGACTTAAAGCTGGGACACAATATGGACCCTGTCGTGTCGGGCACAGCAAAATACAAAGTTCAAATTTCAGAATTCAATTCAAATAATAACACATTAACATTTATATATATAAAAGAAAGTCGTGTTAGTTACACCACTTATAAACTCAAGAACGGCAGAAAAGATTTGGCTGAAAATTGGTAGGGAGGTAGCTCAGAGCCAGGAGACCGACATAGGATACTTTTTTACCCAATTTTTTTTTTACTTTTTACCGAAAATCACGAACGGGGAAGGGAAAAAATGGGATTACGCGTACGAAGTCGCGGGCAGAAGCTAGTTTTCAATAATTATTAAAATAAATAGGTCTAAGAGAGTCTAAGTAATAAGTAACATTAAATAAAATAATTAATTAACATGTTTCAATAATAATGAAATATAATATAACCGGTTGATTACCGAACGCATTAACGCGTCGCTGGCACGGAACATTTGACAAAAAGTACCAGGGTCGCATGATAGAATAAGAGGTGTTCGTATTGACTGGGTAGGTACCGGCAGGTGTAGAAAAATGTAAAGATGGAGGGACGCACATGTGAGTCGGTGGCACCAAATATTATCTCAAAACGCACTAACGCGTCGAGGGCATAACGAATTTGACAAAAAGTACCAGGGTCGCATAATACGTT